GCAAATTAAAATTTTTAACACTTTTCGTGCATTGCACGGTATTAATATTTAACTACTCCGTATGATATAAATAAATTGGATTCAAATAAAGTGGATGGATGAGAAATCAAAAAATGAATATATATGATAGATAAGAAACAGGAAACATATATATGTATTAAAATGAATAATTCGAGCGGATTGATTTCGTCTTGTGAGGAATCGGAGGAACAGGAAACAGGTCTATATACGAGAGAGACGACGGTTTCTGAACCTTCACGAATCTTCCGTAGAACACTTCTTCTACCATCTTCTCGAAAATATTTCTTCTTCTATCTTTTCCACTTCCAACAAAACACTTTCACTTTCTATTAAAAACTCACTTTTACCCTTACTTTTTCATACTCTACCAATCACATTATATTTTTTCTCTAATAATCTATCCATCAGATCTTACTTTTATTCATCACATTAAGGGCAAAATTAGAAGTCAACTATAATTTAACACTTCCTTATTTTTACACTTTGTCAAAATAGGAACTTTTTTTGAGAACGAAGGGAGTATGTCTTTATATTTAAAATAGGAGTTCGTAATGTGATAATGTAGCACTATATATGGATATTTTATTATATTTTTTTGGTAATGTACATGGTCATGATTGATAATGTAAATACATTTTATCACGTATTTCGAGAATAAAAAAATAAAACTCTTATTTTAATCTACTTTTAATGTTTTACACCTACTTTAGTCTTTTTCCTTTTGAAAAATTAACATTAATACTCATTCTCTTTTCAAAACTTATTTAAAAAGTTCATATGGTTTCAAAAAACAATTAATTTAAAAACTCATATCTTATAAATTCAACGTATTTGCCATGACACCTTCAATACAATGGAAATTAAAAATTTACACTGTTATATTGGAAAAAATTGTAATTTTACAAATTAAATATAGAAGACATACCTTTGCAAAATTCGTAAAATGCACTATCTCGACTTTTTTCAGATATTTTTAGAGAGTACAAATTTTTCATCTTTTGAGTATATTTATAACATCTTAACCCGCATAACTCAAATACACAGATTAACGAACTTGGTTGCTACTAAATTGGTACCCAAACACGACTTAATTTTCAAAACAATTCAAATGAATATCTCGAAACATAATTCAACATTCAATCGTAGTAATAATTAAAACAGTTGCGCAAGCTTAAGTTATAATCCAAAATATAACTTGGGACTCATGCTCGTAAAAGTAATAAGTTATTTAAATAATAATTAATAATTCAAAGTCTTCAATAACCGCCACGCACATCTCAGCATCCTCATCGCCTCCTAGGATTGGCTCCAAGTTCATCATTCTTTAGATTACCTACGCGCAGCAAAAGAACAAACCCTACACGCTTAGCATTGAAGCTAAGTGAGAAATATCTAACATACAGCTATACTCATAGATGATCCCACTAGCCCATATCATCATATGATATCATGCACATAACATACATAGCATTGATCACAACAGTATACAAGATATAACATGCATAATCAACATCATAACAGTTCACAAGATACAATCAACGACGATACAAGTATTATATACTTTCCTTTTTAGTTTATTTTACTTTCTTTCTCGCACTGGCTCCTAACCTATGCTAGGTTGAAGCTTAACTATTTCGACTTACCTATGAGAGTCATGACCTTCCCCTTCGGAATGAAGGTCAAGCTCAAACCAACTCTGGAGTTCCTCGTTGGGTGGGTGAGATCATTGTCCTCTTTGGAATGGTTGTTCATAGATCCCCGTGCGCACATTTTTACACGAACAACCATTGGACCCAACACGTACCACATGACTCTAACTTACTAACTTATGGCATACCTTGCCACTAATCTATTCATGTCAGTCCGTAGAATTCTTCTAGGTGATTCGTCCTTTATCCATTAACAATTCATGATAAAATGTTCATACATCATCCAAGCATTAACAACATAATCATTATATTCAAACAACGGCCTAACACTGGGCCCCCATGTTTACCGTCATGCAAGACACAAAGTCTCGGAATTGATCTTCGACGAAAATATAAAATTCTGACCAGTTCAGGTATTTCACTGTACCGTTAACGGTAGGGGGGACCAACCCCACGGTACCAGGGTACCGTCACACGGTACATGGGTACCTTCCATCATAGCGGTAACTCCCCTTCGGTAGGCCTGTCACAATAGCTTCTAACGACTTGGCGGTAAGGCCTATCATCCGCCCGGTACACAGGTAGTGTTTGGTGAGAGGTACCGGCAGAGAGGAGGGAAAACGTTGAGTGTGGCAGTACCTTGGTATCGTCCCCATCGGTACTGTCCTATCGTCGGACGCTATAAATCCCAGGTTTACACCAGCAACGTTTTTCCACACCAAACCAACATCAAATACAAAACAACAGACATCAATATATTTTATATTCATATTCAAACATTATCTAACATGCTCATAACATATTTAATCGAATTCATGCTTTCCAAATTATAAACAACGTAAACGAGACATAACTCACGTAGGGTTCACACAATTCAACCGTAACGATTCTACGAATATAAGATTAAAACCTATGACTATAACCCATAGTTTTTAAAACCGGACCAGATCGGCCGGTTCAAACCGGGAACCGGTGAACCAATCACCAAACCAGTCCGGTCCAAGCCTAAAGACCCCTTCTGCTATGAGCCGGCTCGAACCGGCAGGTTGAATCGCGAACCAGTTTTTTTTATTTTTTTGCAGAAATCTTCCAAAATAGTACCCCCGTATATTTTGAACACTAGATCTCCCGTTTCCTATATTCAACTTCTCACAACCTTGGCTGAACCACTCTTGTGACATTGTTTGCATAAAGTAGTGTTATTATACAATACATTTCTTGGTTTAAAAAATAAAACTTCAAAAATGATTTTTTCATAAAAAATTGCAAAATATAATGTTATAACTATGATTTAAACGTTTAAGTACTCCATATTCTACAAATACAGAGTACATAACAAAGAAATATATCTAATTTAAATAAGTTTTGAAAATATTGGACAAATTAATAAACAAATAAATCTCCTATTTTAAAATATTTTAATATAATTTTTAAATATTTCATAGATAATTTTATCAACTTAATACTACAATTCAAATTAATGAATTTGGTTATAACTTTAGTCATTTATCATAAACAACTTATTTTTAGATGGAGCAAATATATATATATATATATATATATATATATATATATATATATATATATATATATATATATATATATTTCAAAAGTGTTTGAACCACTGGTTCGACCAGTGAACCAGTACCTACACCGGTTCGATCGCCGATCCAGTTCTAAAAACTATGATATAATCATACGTTAGATGTTCACGTACTCACATCCAATTCGAAGATTGAATTATTAATTATTATTTAAATAACTTATTACTTTTACGGGCATGAGTCCAAGTTGTATTTTGAATTATTACTCCGTTGAATTTTGAATTATGTTTTGAAATATCCGTTTGAATTTTTTGAAAATTAGGTCGTGTTGAAGGGAGGACCATATTATTGTGTTGGATGATTGGAAAGAAACACACTTGTATGAAACTTACAAGAATTTTTTTAAAATTTTTTATAATACACTCGTACCTTTTTATTTAAATTTTTTAAGGAGAAAAACCAAAAAAAACAAAAAACAAAAATCAAGCCCATCAATCAAAGATTCAAATTTCTTTTATATGCATAACCGAATCTAATATTTACCTTCAATACTTCAGTTTGGTTTTTGATTTGGAAAAAAACGGAACAAGAAAAACAACCCTACGCACATTACACATCACATCGCTTTAATCAAATCCTCGCCAAGAAAAAATTCCCTCTATTTTTCATCTACTTAGCTTTGCCAATTCTTATGAAATTAGTGAATTTATTATATTTCAATTAATTATGCCTATTTTTTTATAATGATAAATTAAGACATCCATTTTATATTATTAGTTTGTAAAATCCTTTCCTTACCTTATTAGTGTTCATACTAAAATTGTGATTCGTTTGCCTGATCTGATCTGATTTTTTGAAAGTCTGATTTAGTCTAATTTGATCTTGCCTGATCTAATTGAAGTTACAATTAAAACTGTTTCTGATCGAATCTGATTATAATAAGAATAAATAATAAGTAGAAAAAATAAGTTTAACAGAACGCTGCCTAAGTCTCACCATTTTAAATAGAGACTTAGTTCTTGCAATACACCATAGGATCTGTTTAAGAATAACGTTAGAGATTAGCGCTAATATTTTGAAAAGGGTATATACGGGTATCATTTAGCGTTAGCATTATCAAAGTAATCTGCATCGTTAAAATTTTATCTAAAATGATAACGCTAGTCTCTGACGTTATTCCCAAACAAGCCCTAAAAGGATATATCCGAAGAGAAGAAACAAAAATATTACTCCCTCCGTCCCGTTTTAAATCGTCTGTTTTGACTTTTGGGCATATTTAAGGAAAAGAAAAAATAGAGTTGATTTTTCGAAATTGCAATTATTTTTTAGGAGGGGTGACGGTAAATGAGAAGATAAGGTGGAGAAGAGTGACTTAATTTAGGGGTAGTTTAGGTATTTTACTCTTAAAAGTTTACGAAATCAAGTAACAGGCAACTTATTTTGGGACGGAGAAAAAAGACAAACAGACAATTTAAAATGGGACAGATGAAGTATTTCTCTACAAAGATTCTCTAAATATTTTCTCTCATTTCTTAACACCAACTTCTTTCTTTCTTTTATTTTCCGCGCCATTCTTTATTTGTTCTTTTCACACACATGTTACCCCATCTCTCCTTTTTCTATATTTATTAATTTTATTTATTTATTTTCTTTTTCTCACACCTGCTCATAAAATAAACTCTAATATACTCGTAGTTAATATTTGGTAGTTGAGGAGATATTTTAACACTACAAGTTACTCCGTAGTTGGTTGGTATACTACTTTTAGTAAATGTGAAAAAATGAGAAGTTTTCACTCAAATTATTGAGCTTTTCTATTTTATCTCCGTTTATTTGTATTTTACATTTGGTAATTTTGCTCACAAAATTGAACATACTCTTGCACTTCTATTTACATATATACCTCCCTCATGTCAACAATTTGTCAATGGAGAACTTGACTTATGATCACTTGTTATGCGCTTCGAGAAAATTTTCGTTCATTCTTTTTTTTCTTGAAAAACATCGTGAATATGTTATTCGTCCTTGTCTCCATCCCCACCGTCATGGTAACTAAATGGAAGGGGCACTGACTTGAATGCGCGATACTTGCCCACATTGTTTAGGTGTTCATTCTCCAACCTGAGAAAAAAAAATCTTTCTCTGTAAATTTAGTGTATCGTTTATGCTTCTTTTCCATTTAAGAGTCCAATGTATACCACATTTTCACAAAATTATCGGTAAGATTGGAGACACGGTAACTTTTTGTAGAACTTTAGTGGTTTTGTTGTTGTTGATAGGATGGAGGCATGGTAACTTTTTGTAGAATTTTACTGGTTTTGTTTTTGTATTGGAGACACGGTAACTATATTTATATGGAGTACCTGAAAAAGTTCCACATGCCACGACGAAGAATTTCGAGGCAGGAAAATATGCTTGATATTCTATTCCCGCGCAAAGAAGCAACATTAAATTTTAGCACAAGCTGCAGCCAGGCAAATCTGAGGGCAACGTCCAAGACCTGCAGGGTGGTCAATAAAAGAAGGGCCGTGTTCCATAGCGACATATGAATGAACAAAGAACTTGGAAATTCGGAACGATGAAAAGCACTAAGAATTTCACATTACCATAGCTGTAAAATATACACTCGCATGAGAAACAACGAGTTTATTTCGAAGAAGCGTGTTCCTTGATTTCCTTCGCAGGAGACCCCAGTCGACAACGATATCCCAATACGTGTTCATTATGGTTGCAAGAACTGACATTAGTATGGCAAAGACTTTCCAACTCAAGCTCCCTTTCAGTTCAAAAGCTGTTCTAATAGCTACTGCCACGATTGTCAAGAAGTATCTCAAACCATTATACAAATGTGCAATGTCGTTCTCCTCAAACAGCCGGCGAATGCACTGGACGACAAAGATTGTTACGTAAAGACCGTGTGAGTGTTATTGGTTGGAATTGTAATGCATTTAGAAGACAACTGATTACAGCAAACCCCGGATGAGACCTGGAGGAATCGAAACCAGTACGGGAAAAATGCAAGGATGAAATAGAACACATCATAGATGTTGTGACCGTGACATTTGTTTTGTCTCTCTTTGGGATCTTTCCATCCATAGTAGCAGACATAGTACTCCAAAGTCCTTATTGCTTCTACCTGGTGTCATTGTGTCAAAGCTGTAAATTATAAATTAAAAAAAACAAAGACCAATGAATCACATGTAACATAACCAGGCGAACTTCAACTGGATAATAAACCTGGCTTGTAAATTGGTCTGCCAGAAAAAAGTCTGGAAGAGTGACCTGCAAAGAACTTACAGAGTGAGGAGCATAAATGGGTAATCCATATTAATTTTCTTTCCAATTGAATATGTTTACCTTGTAGAGAGGTGCACAGACACAATGGATAACAGTTTTAATGAGGAAGAACCGACTTGATCGGTACATTATGTTAAAGGGGCAGAACAGAAGTATAAAAAGAACCTGTACGAATAAATTCTCTTAAAGTAAATTTAACATGCAATATTAAGTAATTGATATTTCACAATTGATAGAAACATACAAAGATCAGTCCCAATGGAACAAACTCAATATATCTGCTATAATCTTGAGCTCGTGAATCTATATTCAAGTGCACATGAGCTAGAAAGGTGCCAAGGACAAGCATCGCTAGACCATTGCTAAGAAGAAAGACATCCCGATAGCCCAATTCAGTCCCTTGCTTGAAACCAAAAATAAAAGCATAGTTGATTTTGTAGTGCCTCCAGAAATATAAGTTTGCAGCATAAAGAAGCATGTGCAGCACGATATATGCATAAAAACTGCAGAATTGTGAATTGGTCAGTTCTAAAGGATAGTATATACAAAATACTCTAAAATGAAAAAAGGAGTTATTCCTCTACCTGTAAAGTGGAAATATGTTGTCCAGATAAGAGGAATCACCCTCCATCAACTTTCTGGTATCTCTTAGCAAAGTAAGAGCAACTAACAAAGCAATTGAGCAACCAGAAAAGAAGCCTGGAATATAAGAACTTAAAATAACGGGGAACACGTAACACAAAAGATATACTGCACTTGTGTTTTGACAAGTTGAAGGGCAATGCTGCATGAAACACTTGCCTGAAAAAAATGTCACTCGGTGCTTTTCTGACTTTGGCATTGGCCTCAATTTTTTCATACCCTTTCTTCTGTTAGAATTCGAGAAGTGTTTAATGAAAATGGACTCAACCCTATCCAGTAGACCAGAAACCTAAAAAAGCAGCATGGTTCAGCATGTTTGAAGGATGGATGAAGATTTTTGAACCATGGTAATAGCACAATAAATTGAGTGTTTCTTATCCCATCCTTGTCTGACAAAGAGTTAATATTATAATCCAAAGTTCCAAACATGCTAAGTGAAGATTAGTTCAAGTTCAGTCCAAGTTACAGGGTATTTACATTGCTGCTTCCAAATTGCTTCAAGCCAAGAGCATATTTTCATATGCTTTTGTTTGAAGGGAAGAATTAAAAGTATTATGGTTTTTTATTCTCATTCTGTTCAGGTTTTAAGTTCCTATTCATATTTGAAGGGGAACCTTGCCCTTGGCACACCAGGTGAGGTGTTATCGCATGACCTTGAGATCACGGGTTCGAGTCATGGAGGCTTCTTGCAAAAATGAAAGTTAAGGTTTGCCTTTCTCCATTATAGTGAAACTCTTTCCAAGATCCTAACATACTTGGGATTGTACTGAGTTCTCCCCATTATGATGGAACTCTTTCCACAAACTCCAACGGAGTTGGGATAATACTGGGTTTTGTTGTTTTTGTAAATAACTTTCTCAACTCGAGGTTCAGATTTGTTCTGCTTGAAAGACTAATAATTGAATGGATAAGACAATTAAGTGACTGAAAGTTTTTTATTCACATCGCTCCTGCATGCATATTACGGAGTAACTCGCAACAAGTTTAACCGGACCTCATCAGAGCTTCCGAGATAAGAGTTCTCCACCATTTTCATGTATGACCGTGCAGCTCTTCTTGACGTAATCTGTATTTACATTAAAAAAATCACTTGTCAACTTTCAATTATGGAATTAAACTATTAAAAGGCTCGCCATGGACCTTTACTAGATGCAAGTTTTATATTTAATGGATTCAATGAAGTTGCAATATCGCACGGGCATGCTATACAGAATTTAATCCATTCTAGCTTATCACCTTTTCATACTTCTTCAAGATCTTGGAAAAGGCTGAGAGGTTTGTATAGCTGTCATTGAATCAGCAAACAGTTGCACACTTTCAAAACAATATGAGAAATGGAACCAACAAAAAGAAAACATTTTTAAGGTAATGTTGCCACAATTATAGCTTATTACCTGAAGTTCTTTAGAAGGCGAAGCTTTCGATAGAACTCAACAAAGGCTATTTTCAACCTTTGATCAACCTTCTTTAGTTCTTCTCTCTTGAACCTCAAATCATTTTCTTTAGAATCTCTCAGAACCCCTCTTATTGTAGACATTGGAGTTTCGAAGGTATTAACAATCTTTACACGATCAAGGATTTCCAGGGGGTGTGGTTCTTCATTTTCTGTACCTGTGTTTCCTTCTGTAGCAGGGTTGTATTTGGAATGATCAGATGACAATCTTTCAGGACTATGATCCACCCTTGGGGCCAAAGCTATATGCTTCGTATCTGTAGTAAATACGGAGTAGTTGTATAATAAACCAATAAAAAAAATTATTTCTAATTTTAAAGTTTGTAGATATGTCATATACTCATAAGAACACAGAAGAGAGGTGTTGCAATTTCCAATCCAGAAAATGACTAGCTAAAAATTAGTATGAAATACTGCCTTGGCCTCCAATAGGAATCATGTAAACTTCATAAACAGTTAGAATGAATGCATTGTAGAGTGACACAATGAAGCCTTTCCTGCAATCATTTTCTCAATTTTTTGAATTCCCTATTACTTTCTCTATTGAGCTGATTGTAATAGATTTTATTCTTAAGCCTTTATTTTCTAATATGAAAATATATTAAAACTTACATTGGGCGTAAATTTTACTTGGGGAATGGAGATCATTACGGAATGACAAATTTCAATCGGTAGCTCTGAATCTGGAACTACCTCTTGAGGGCATTGAATGATTATCATCTACAGAAAGCTGTTGCAGAGAAGCAGATGCATCGGAATCTGGATTCATCACCTTGATACGCAATGCAAGCAATACTTCCATCTGTTGGTTCAACATTGCCGCTTCGTTTTTCACTTCCTCCACCTTTTCATTGTAAAAGGTATTAACCTTGTTAAGCTCATTGTCAAGTTTCTTGAAGAACATGATCTCGTTCTGTCCTCCTTCTGGGGGTTTCAGAAACTTGGAATGGTACATCTCTATGGAGTTTTCTTGTACAGTATCCACAGATATAACTTGATCCTCAACATCTCCACTATTTTCAGCACTAGTTTCCGGGTTTAAGCCGCTGAAGGCCCTGCGGAATCTGTGTTTCTGTTGTACAGGAGTTGTAGGTTGTTTGAGTTTTTTGATATGGTGTATGTCCTGCAATATCCTTTTAAGCCCATTATAGTCCACATATGCTTCTACCCATTCTGGCACCTGCTGTTTCTTGAACTCCTTCCCAAACTTCATTTCTGTGCATTTTGGCACATGAAATGATATAAGATGTTCAACTCAAATGAATACACCAATCCATGAACTCTCATAATCATGATATCTTCCCACAGTAAAGGAAATATAGAAATCACCATACCTTATATGGAGTACCAAACAAAGTCGCCCCTTATCAAAAGTTTACTGGATCCAGCTACTGAAATCATAAATGACTTATCAAATTTCTATGTATCTGTCAAAGATGATATAATATGGATCGTAAAAGGGAGCGGATCCCTAGTACCAAACTCCATGTAACCTCATATGAGAGCATCGACCTAATAAGCTTAGTTCGTCTATTATGCACAATCTATCTATGAGCATAAACAAGATCATACGAATCACACATTTCTTAAAATGAGATGCTTTATAAATCCAAACATTTACTTCAATTAATTACTTTGGCATGACATACGATGAAACCGATTAAAAATCACAAGCTTAACCAAATAAGACTGAAGAAGACTTGACAGTAGTGGACTGATTGAAACAAAATCCATCAGCTTAACAAGGATCCTTCATGGAATTCAAATGCAAATAAACACATTCATACTATGAATTCTCTCCTTCAGGCCGGGACGCAAATCAATTGATCCTTCTGCACAATCGCCAATCCGTAAACCACGGAATTTCAAATATGACGACGCGCAGGGGCTAGGCGCACTCACCCTCACGAAAGTAAAATACATACAGACGCCGCCACGCCGGCGCATCCGTCGCAGGCTTACAGAAGCAGCAACGCCGGCGGTATATACATGCAGCATATGTATGTATATATTCATGTGTGGGGAGTATATTTGCGTATGAATTACGTACAGATTTATACAAGCTCAAAACGGAGAAGGAATATTACCGGTGGTTAGAGAGAAGACATGGGAGGAAGCTGAGAACTCGAAAATGGCGTGTAGAGGATTTCTTCTTCTTCTTCGCTTGGACTGCGTAATCGCGTTTACAGGTGGTTCGCAACGGAAAGTGGAGCACGGGAATCCGAGATAAAATGAGATGCTTTATAAATCCAAACATTTACTTCAATCCATAGATAATTTAATTTAATTTAATTATTCCTTCCAAGCATCTACTAGAAGGTATATGGTACAATCGGTTTATTTTGAAATAACTTGAAATTCATTTTAAAATAGAATAATACTCATTTTGAAACAATGTAGTACTCATTTTCACACATTTAGTTCATACAATTATAATATTTATCTACGAATAGCATATTGTTCATTCTGAAATAAAATGATACTCATTCTCAAATCAAGTAGTGTTCAATCTCAATTAAAGTACCGCTCATTACACCTAGTCTAAAATGAATATGCCACCCTTCTTCATCTTCCTTGCCCAAAACCTGAACTATTTCGAACTAAATTTCTACAGCCACTTCTCCCATAAACCTCCATCTGGTATACAAGTAATACAATTACCTTTCTTAGTATTACATCACCATCACCTTCACCATCATCTTCATCATCATCTTCGTCGCCTATCTGCTCCCCGCCTCCAACTTTGTACACGACCTTCGTTTTCCGATCAGAGACACTTAGGGTTTGATTCGATCGCGCTGCTCTTTATCGTTATTTTTCACCGGTTGTACAGTTCTTCCCGTACAGTTGGCTGTACGATATTATTTGCGGTTCTCTACTAATGTTTCACGATAGATAGAATGCACGAGTTGTGAAAAAATAAAATTGTGTAGCTAAAATTGTTATAAAAATGATATATAAATCATATAAAATTTCCTAATATGGTAAGTCTGTTCTTATTTTGGGATAAAAAAAATCTAAAAATGTTTATAAGGATACGAAACAAGCATTTAACATTATTGGATTCATACATGTGCCTTGCACGGGGAAAAAAAGTTTGCAGAATAAAAATTACAAAATATTTGAGGTTCGTGAATAAAAAATGTAAACCATTACAATCTACCATTCTTGAAATGCAACATACATTTATTTATTTATTCATTGTAATATAAAAAGAAAGCAAAAAAAGACTAGCTAAAGTAGGGAGTATTCAATTTTTTATGTTTTCTTATCCCATTTGTATTTATTAATTCCATGGTTTAAATTTTGTCATCTCTTTTTTCAAAGTTAATTAGTGATTTACACATGTTAATTACTCCATTCGTTTTTTAAAACATTTCCTCTTTCAATTGATTACTTGATTCAACTCAAGAGCTATTATATCTATTATTTTTCTATTCAACTCCCGATTCTGACACAAGTTCGACACAAAGCTTCCTTTTGTGACGGCTTTTACCTTTTTGTGAGGCTTTTTGCCCCACCCTAAATCAACATATTCTAGTAGTGAGAAGCACATGTTCGAAACTCTAGAGGACGTGTTAGAATATAATACGGAGTAAACATTTTCTAAGACATAACATGTAAATGTGAAAAGTCAAATGTGAAGATTATTTCCGGACGGAGAGAGTTTTAATTATAGACCCATGCTGTATTAACATTCAAGTAATTAATTTAACCAAAAATTCAAGCCAGAAAATGTTTATTATATTCTAACAGTCCAAATCCGCTAGTGAAGAGGTACTGGAGTGTCGCTTTCTTTGGATGAGTCAATAGAAATTCATGGAGTCTATGAAATCCATTTAAATCAATAAAAAAGTTGGACAAAATCTACATGAAGTCTCTAGATTTTCTAAATTCACTTACTTTTTATAATCTAAAAAATCCAATACAGTCTCAATTAAATACACCTGGATTACAAAAAAAGAAAAGAAGGGAAATAAGTGTAGTCCAGTTTTTTTGCTTGCCAAAGAGGCAAAGAAAAATTGTTTCTTCACTTTATTCTTCCCACTTTATTCACTCTGCTTCTTATTATTAATTCAAATCTTCCATTTTATATCCCACAAAATTTCCACCACTACGTTAATCCCCATCTCTGTCTTCTTCCCCTTCAGATTTCACTAGTTTATGAGTCTACCCCAAAAATTCATCTAATTTGATTTTCAATTCCTTTTTCTTCCCAAGTTTCTCCAGCCATGGAGTCCGCAACCTGGTTCGCCATCAACAAACCACCGCCCAAAAACGGGCTCCGTCGAAACAAAAGCCCAATTGATTTTGTCAGGAACCGGGTCGGGTCCTGTCCGACGGGTCTGCAAAAGGAATTTTCTCCATTTCTCACGCGCTGCTCGGCAAAGCAGGGCGCGAACAAGACGGACGAGGGGTTATTGTCCGCAGAGCCCGGATCCGGTTCGAGACCCGACGGGGAAGCACGACCCGTACCCGCCGTGAGCGAATCGTGTTTGTATCCGGGTCCTTCGTTCTCGACGGGTCTGGTCTTGGATTTGGGTCATCCGACCGCGTGGGACGGGGTCGAAATCGGGTCGCCCGTGGTGAAGCGGTACCTGAGCGACGAGGAAGAGAGGTGGCACATGTGGTACAGCGGCAGATCCGGGAAGAATCCGGGCTCGGAGTCGATCGGGTTGGCGGTTTCCGGCAATGGGGTCCACTGGGAGAGAGGGGAATCCAAGGTGGGGCCCGCCGGAGGCGTGGGGATGGTGATGAGTTGCAGCCAAGAATGGTGGAGCTTCGATACACACAATATAACCCCCAGTGAGGTTCTGGTAATGTCCAGCAACAAAGTCCACAGATCAAACGGCGCCGTTTACTGGCTCTACTACACGGGTTCCGGTGGAGTGGTTCCCGGGAGGAATCCCCCGGGTTTTGATTTCGAAAACCCGGAGAGGGCGTACTTACCCGGGGGAGCCAAACAAGGCATAGCGAAGTCGTTGCCCGGGTTAGCCATAAGCCAAGACGGAAGGCATTGGGCACGGATAGAAGGGGAGCATCATTCCGGGGCCCTGTTGGGCCCCGGGGAAGAAGGCGAATGGGATTCGCTCTTCATATCCTCGCCGTGCGTCGTTCCCCACGGGAACGACGGCGGCGACCTGAGGATGTACTACCACTCATTCGACGCCGAGAGCGGGTGTTTCGCGGTCGGGATGGCGCGGTCGAGGGACGGGGTGAGGTGGGTGAAGCAGGGGAGGGTCATGGGGGGAGGTGGGGCGGGCGCATTCGACGAGATGGGGGCGATGAACCCGAACGTGGTGAGGGAGAGGAGGAGCGGGCGGTACGTGATGGCGTACGAAGGGGTTGGGGCGGACGGGAGGAGGAGCATCGGGGTGGCGACGTCGGCGGACGGGTTGAAGGGGTGGAGGAGGGTGGTGGGGAGCAGCCCTGTGTTGGAGGTGGAAAATGGTTGGGACTGTGAAGGGGTGGGGTCACCTTGTCTTGTTCAAATGGATGGGGAAGATTGTGAATGGAGGTTGTATTATAGGGGAGTTGGGAGAGGAGGAAGGACTGGCATTGGGTTGGCTGTTTGTGATGGCTCTCATTTTCAAACCTTTCAAAGATGGAAAGGGTTTCATTTTTGAGACTTTTGGCATTAGATTTCATTGTGTCATAGTCTATTTCGAAGTTTAACTCCCTAACCCCTAATTCCTCACGCTGAGATATTCAATTGCTCGATACTTTAGTCAAGATTTTGACCAAAGTATCAACCAAAATTCAGAGTGTAATTGGATATTGTGGAAATGTTAATAATGAAGTGTTGAAGAAAAGGAAGCATGCGTGCACGTACGAAGGGTCGCGCGACCCCTCGTGTTGTCCGTCGATCTATTCGAATAGTTAAAGTTTCTCCTATATAAAGAAGGCTAGTTGTAGTGAGGGAGACTCTTGAAAAAAACCTTCTGTGTTCCAATAGTTCCAACTTCGGAAAAGTTTTCTGGCAAGTAACTCTCCTTTTGTTCTAGTTCGTCGGTGCATGATTCTACCGTTCTAGCCCTTACACGTTAGCAATTTTGTCCCGGGAGGGAATCGTCCACATTACCGAGTGCAGAAGGCTGGCGATACTACCATAAAGAAAGCTCCGTTGACTTCACTTTCCTTGATGTTTGAAGGTTCTTCTTCCGACCACACATCGCGCAACTCTAGAACCGGCGTTCCTTCATTTATTTTATTTTATTTTTCCATTGTAAAATCTGAACATATTATAACTTTGAATTATTCCTTTTACTTCTTCTTCCCGTTGTAATCTGTAATCAACATATGACAGTGTGGGGGAAATTGAAAGACTAGCTTTTTATTTTTAGAGAATATTCTCTTTAACTTATTCTTATTTCTCAATCTTTCTATTCCAAAGTAATCGCTTGGTTTTGAATAACTTGTAAAATTACATCTCTTTTAAAATATTTTATTTAGGAAATCGGCATAAAAATATAAAGTACAACTTATATATATCAAATAAAAGTTTAAGTTTTACAAAACAAGTAGCTACACGTATTTTTTATATTATCAAACAATAAATGAAAGTATACAACAAATAAAAGTTATCGAAACTCGAAAGTTTGAAATACTACACATGATGAAAATTTTGTGATAAAGACATAGCTTTAAGAATTAAACCGGTCAAGGCACTAATTCACTAGTCGAACTAGTGGTTCAGTAGTTGAACGAGTGGTTCAAACAAATTATACACACACACACACACACACATACACACACACATACATACATACATATATGTATATATACACACACATATATATATTGGTTCTGGTGAGAATGCGATCTTGAAGAGAAATGAGAATGAATCTCGTGCTTTAAATTGTTAGATCTAAGGGTCAGGATTACATCAAAATTAGATGCACCAAAATGGTTTAAAAATGCATCACGTCGAAATGCACAAAATCCTTTGAAAATGCACTATCTCAAAATCTGAGTACAGGATGCAATCTGAGCCGCACGATCCAACGGCTAGATTTTATTCTCATTTCTCTCCCAAGTTGCAATCTCACAGGAACCGGCCCATATATATATATATATATATATATATATATATATATATATATATATATATATATATATATCTGTGTGTGTGTGTAATCTTTTACTGAAATTAAATTGATTTTATCAATAGAATATTTGCATTTATTACTTTATTAAAAATACATTTTATATATTTAAAAATTATATACAAAATTAAATAATTATTGGTAATTTTGTTTACTAAAATATTTTTTCCAATACCTTCTTAAATTGTCTAAGAAATAGTTTCTTCAAATGTACTCAGTGTTAGTATCAATTACTTCATTCGTATCAATCTAAGTTTTCCGTTTAATATTTAAAGTTTACCAATTTTAATTTTTTTATATCCATTTTCGTTACCAATTTGAGAAAATAATAGTCATATATTAATATCAATTCATGTTTAATTTTATACTTTGACCTAACTTTTAAATACAGAGTATAAATTTTATTATTACTAGTATTTTGACTTGTGTGATGCATGGGGTCAAACAATTTTTTTTGTCGATTTTGAATTATTTCAATATAATATATTTTCTGAAATCAAGTAAATATATTTCTAACCTGATTTTTAATCAATGGACAACAACGACAAAGTAGAATAAATAATGTTTGGGGAATTGAAAGTGTACTAGATTTTTTTAATTCCAAATTTTTTAAGACGTCAGGGTACACACCATTTTTGGTATGGTTGTAACGGTTTCCATTGTCATTTAGAACCAATATTTTTAGTCATGACTTTATTTTCACTCGTAAAAAAGTAACATAAAGCTGACAATAAGTAAATATCAAATTGATTAAAAAATAATACAAAAAAAGACAATGTGTGACTTTGAGTTTTGTTAATAGTCATAGCAAAGCATAAGAGTATTAAGAATTGCCTTTTTCTAGAATTTCAAAGGTAGTCGTGAATGAAATGGTACAGAGTTCATTTAAGGTATATATAAACATTTTTTCCAACTCAACTTCCCGAAACCTCAATTGTATTGATAATGTTCTTTCGCAACTCTTCAACGATTAATCTTTACCATTACACAATCCAGATTTTTAGTTAATGTTCTTCAATAACATAACGATACCCCTTTTTAAAAACTATTTTGTGGGTTGGGATCCCCAAACATGTGATTTCATTAAAAAAAACTCTATTGTTATCCAATCGTTTTCAACAACTACATTTGTATCTGTTTGGCATGAAGAATCATGATTTAAGTACTTCTTTTCACCTCTTAGAATAAAGAATAGAACAAATTCATTTATCATTCAACAAACTCGATAGTGAGTGCTAATAATGCACTGTCTTTAGAAAAGAATAATTTTTCATGTTTTTTTATAGGTTCAAATAAGTGAAGTCCACTATACACTCGAGGGGATATTTTATGTCAAGAACCAAGAATTCGAGTTGGATTTCAACGTCAACAGTTCCATCGATCACTTGTCTAAGTTTTCCATCTTCGATTTTGATTATCCAATCAGAAAAAGCTTGTGTGTCTTGTTTGTGCAAAAGGGTGTTGATAAATACAATCTCATATTTTTGGTCAACATATAAACTTTACAATATAACCATAATTTTGAGGAATTGGTGGTAGCACCTACAATTTAATCTTATCTCAAAGCTGTGAGTAAAATTGAAAATAAAATCACCTCCGAGTACTACTGTTTTTTTCCCGAATGGTTAATTTCTAGAGTTATTATGAGAAAAATTCATTACATCTATCGTCATGTACTCCAATGCCTCAAAAGTAAATCTGTTCAACGTAGATTGATTCATCCCATATGATTATACTTACTTGTTGGATTAAGTCTTATTGGACTCCCTCTTGTTTGATGGCACCCGATAAGCACTAAGTTAGCGCCAAAGTGATTAAGAATCTTGAGTGTGTTATCCTTTTCCTAGGCAAAAGCAACTCTACAATGAAGTTAGATGTGATATTCAAGACAACCTTACTATTTGTCCTCAGAAAAGCAGATAATGATTTCTAGAGAAATATTTTTCCAGTTCCACCGTAACCATACACAAAAAAGAAACGTTCTCTTTTAGTTGTCACGACTTCCATTATTTAATTAGATATATTCCAATAATCATCATCCATCATAAATAAATGTCCTCTAAGATCAATGCCAATTTTTCTTTGTCAATTGTCATAGTTCAACTCTTCTACCAAAAAAATTATTTTTGATATCTCTTACGTGGATTGTCATATCGGAATGGTATGCCACTCAATTCCTTTAAAGAATATCCATTATAATTAAGTTACTTTTCAATCTCAATTATACATATATTCTTTAGGTATTCTCGTGAGATTATAAATTTTGTAAAAAAAAGAATTAGAAAAATTTGTTTCTATGCGGTGCTCAATTAAAGAGTTTTGTTGTCATATAATGCATTCCATATAAATTACGGAGTAATACGTTAAAAAACTATCTTTATGTTCAGATACCTAGATTCCGCAATATTCTCTTTTGATCAAATAAAACTCCATCCAACAGGAGTTCTTATAATTTTTTCCAAATTAATTTGTGGGTGACTCATGGTACTTGTTACTAATAAATATTCTTTCTCGAACGTGTTAAATGATGCGTGGCTATAACTCATGATGATTACTCTCCTTTTGTATCTGTGACAACCATTATAAAATAAATATTGTAAATATTTTTTTTATAAAAACTTTAAACATGAAAAAATTCTATTATTCATTAATATTTGTTACATTGATACTGATGGTCAGATAAATAAATAATCAAGAATATTACTTATTTATATTATTTTGACATAGATGTCAAAATAAGCATCTTTGGTATTACTTGGAACAAATTTTTAAAAAATACTCCATATTAAATTTTGGTATTACTAGGAACAAATTTCACAAGAAAAAAACCTAATCCTAATTGCCCAATTTCCTATTCGCAGCCCAGCCCCTTCCTATAAATATCCCTCCATCAGCCGTCAACCTCCGGTCCGCGTCCTGCCCTTCTCACAGCTCTCCCAGTCCCAGAAGTCCCCGGTCCGGACGCCGCTGCTTCGACCTCCACCGGCCGCCGCGCCAGACGCAGCTCCTTCGACCTGTACTGACCACTGAAGCCTGAGTCGGCAGGACGCAGTGAGGTAGTGACCAGCCACTGCCAGGTACTATATTTTTTTGTAATTTTTTATTATTTTTGTATAATTGTTAAATATGATGTTTTATATAACTTTGTGAATTGTGATTTGTGGTTTTGTGGAGTATGATATTATCATATGTATAATGTATATCATGCTTAGAGCCCTAGAATGATTAATATAAGGACTGGATATCCATCTTTGCATGTAAATATTAGAACACAATGTTTATTGTTTTCCCTGTTGTTGGTCCAACTAAGAGCCTAAAGGAATGAGAAAAGTGAGAAATGCAAAGAGTAATATGAAATTCTAGGTCCTGACTGGATGAATTTTCATCTCTAGTTGAGCATCGAAAGACAATGGGGGAGGAAGGGAAGAACAACAATGTCAACGGAGAAGAAAAAAAACCACTGAAGCCAAACAACAAAAAGTGCAAGGAAGTTGCTATATTTGGGAACTATAGGAATTACTATGGATACAGAGTAATCTTCCTACTGACTTATTTCTCTTTCACTGTTTATGTTTACGCTTCTTTTAATAAGTTATTTTATCATTATTGTGTGTGTGTGTGTGTGTGTGTGTTTGTTTGTATGCATGACCTACCTTAGCAGGCCTGGAAGACTTATTAGATTGTTTAACAAAAGGAGATTATTGGTGAGAAGAAGGCAGATAGGAAGAAAATGCTGTAAGGGTGGATTGGAAATTCGGAATTGAATCAAATAAAAACATTTTGGAGACTAGAGAGATTCATTTGAATGGGCAACGGATGAAGGAAAAGGGTCTCGTTGGCAACCTGAACACTTTATAATAAACCCAAATTGACAAGCACAGAGACGTTTATGTGCAGAAACTTGGCCAGAAAATCTTATATCAGTCCTTTTGTGCACTTCACAAAAAAAAAACATAAAAAACAAAACAAAAAATGAGCCCACAAAACTACTCATGCACATAGAATTGTTAATAGTTCTCCCATGTACTTGGAACTATTTGGCCATTTCCGGATAATGATGACCCAAGAATAACAATGTGATGCCTATATATGTTTCTGTGTGTCATATTTGTTTCAAAATGGAGTTTCATCTGCTTGTTATATTTCTTTTCAGATTGGTCGTGATGAAGATCCTAGGTTAAATGCTATGAAGAAAGAATGGTTTGAAGGAAAGAATTGTCTTGATATTGGCTGTAACAGTGGAGCTGTTACTATTGCAATTGGTATGCCTTTTCTATTGTACATTTGTAATTACTTTATTTTCTTATTACATTATTTGTGCTTCTCAATTTTGCATTCTTTAAGTTGAGCAAATGATGGTAAAAGAAACACATTAATCATGACTGGTGAACAATTTCTGTTTACAGCACAAAAGTTTTGTTGTCAAAGCATTCTTGGAATTGACATAGATCACTGTAAGTCTTACCTAACCCTTCTACTCCTCGTGCATGGCTGCATGCCTTTTTGTGTGTTGGGGGGGGGGGGTGCATATGTAAATTTACATGCTTCTTTTATTTTTCCCTTTTTAGTTTAGTCGGCTGCGTACAATGATTTATTTTTACGTTTTCAATGCACGCCTAANTACACATATTCCTAAAATATAAAAGATACAGAAAAGAAAACTATGGAGATTTTTTTTTTGAACAAAACTCTGAGGAATATGTTTGCTTTGTGACTGAATAGTCTTTATGGTATCATACATATAATTAGTAGGGAAACTGGACATGATTAATCTAAACTTTGAGAGGGTTGAGACACTATTATGCTGAACTATATTGTGAGATAACAATATACTAGACCTTAAGGGTAATTATTAAAAACATTCTGTATTGAATCACAACCACTTTAAGTAGTAAGAAAATGACGTGGGCACCAGTTTTGGACACATGTACTAGTGGCTAGTGCATATAGTTGATTTTAAGAGAATAAATTCAACTCCACATAATTTTCCAAGTGTTCCTGTCCCGCACATGCTCACTTTCAGAAGATGAGAGAAAGGCTTTAAATGTTGCTCCTTATTGATATATGCTCACTTTCGAAAGAATAGAATTGGAAGCTGGTTCGGCCTAGCACTTTCCCTTTCTCATCTCCAGTATTATTGCTTATGGAAAAGGATGGTACATGGAGGTTTTGCATGGGTAATTGAGCTCTGAATCAAGAGACCGTGTAGGATTGAGTTCCCATTCCTTCCGTCGATGAATGACATGCTTGATGATCTATATAGAGCTATGCTTTTCAGCGAGTTGGATTTGCAGGTAGGTTATAATCAAATCTGATTCATCTGAGGGTTATTTAGTTTCTTCACAAGATTGTCTTTTGAACCCATGACAGTTACTTTGAGTACTTAGGGTTGTTCTTTTTAGCTTCTTCTTATTGAAATCATATCATATCCGAAAATTTCAGATCAGATCTGACCTTAATCAATTCAAATTTGAAACAATCAGATCAGACAAAAAACAAGCCCTTAGTCCTGCTGTTTGGATTGTGTAATGCTCCTTCAACTTTTCAAGTAGACATTAATGATGTTTTCAAGCCATATCTTTGCAAATTCATGCTAGTTTTCTTCAAAAGGGGAAACTCAAGTGGGGGGATGCAGCATAAAAGGCCTGTAGTACTCTAAAGGAAGCAATGACTAGCATGTCGGTATTAGCATTCCCTAACTTCAATAAAATGTATGAAATCCACACTGATTCGTCAGAAACAGGAATGGGGGCTGTACTCATCAAGGTGGAAGACCTCATGCCTATATTAGCAAGGCAATAAGTGACGACAAGAGAGCTTGTTATACATGTGAAAAATAAATGCTGGCCATACTTGAAGCTGTTAGGACATGGATTCCACATATATACGAGTCAAACAAGTCTTGCTGGAGCAACATGTAACTACTCTGGAACTGCAGAAGTAGATATGCAAGATGCTCGGATTGGAATATGAAATTGCATACAAACCTTGGATAACCAATTGTGTGGCCGATGCTTTGTCACAGCAAGAAGGAATCAAACAAGATGCAAATCTATCTCAAGATGAGGTGTGGGCAATTACACAACTTGTGCGGACAATATTGGGGGGGGGATTTTGCGCACATTACTGCCAAGGATCCAAACCTCTCCAAAATCATGTATGAGTGCAAAAGGTTAGAAATGATGGAGAATATCATGTAAGAGGAGGTTGCATTTTGCATGATGGGAGGGTTTGAGAAAATTCGTGACCAATTGCTATTGGAAGTTCATAAATCTCCTTCACCTGGTGTCTTTTACCCCCTAAAAGCTAGAGAAGCAACTTTAAGAGAGTTAAAACAAACATCTTGAGATTTAAAAGATTCACATCAAACAATTAGCCGATCGACATTGTTTTCCCTGAGTGAGATTTGGTTTACTTAAAGAATATCTTGAGATTTCAAGAATTGCATGAAGCAATTAGCTGATCGGCATAGTCTAGAGGAAGAGTTTCATGAGGGAGATTTGGTTTACTTAAAGCTATGACTTCACAAGCAATAATCAATGGCGATTCTTGAACAACCATAGAATGATGGCTACTTGGTCTACAATAGCCGCAAGAAGTGCAAGCTGGAGCTTAGGGATGCCCAACTTGGATGAGGATATATAGTTCCTATAATTAATTGAGTATCCTAGTTAGATTAGAGTTAAAGGTATAACAACATAAAACAAATCTATATAAACACCCTCTTGTTATTAAATACTGATAGAATTTAGAATGGGGTAGGGATCAATGAACTGAGGGTGATAAGACACTTGAGTTGGACCACATTAAAAGATTGTATTCAATCGATTATTTAGTTTAACTTAAGAGCTTATATATTGATTTGTTTCTTCCCACTTTTCCAATTTGGTATACACTAACACTCTCCCGCAAGTAGACAATCGAACCATTTTGAATCTAATAAGTCGACCACTTGCAAATGGAAAACCACCTCCTTGATTTTTGTTTTTTTGAGCGGCAACACCTAAAGAACCACGAGCAGTTGGTTATGGACTTTCAGACTAGCAATCGGGTTAAACGGGCCACAGGCCGTTGGGTACATACTCCATACGGACAAAACCTGCTCCGATACCTGATAGAATTTAGAATGGGGTGAGGATCATTGAATTGGGTCATAAGACACTTGAGTTGAACCACATTAAAAGATTGAATTCAATCGATTACTTAGTTCAGCTTAAGAGCTTATATACTTGAGTTGAACCACATTAAAAGATTGAATTCAATCGATTACTTAGTTCAGCTTAAGAGCTTATATACTGATTAGTTTTCTTCTCAATTTTCCGATCTGGGATACACTCTAACAAATACGATCATCAATAAGAACAATTTAGCGTTTTGCTTTTAAATGTGCCTGAGCACACACCCAATACTAAGAGAAACTCATCACAACCACTAGCACATATTTTCAAAAATGGTGCCTACGGTATGTTTTCAACAACTTTAAAGTAGTTGTAATTCAGGTTCGTATGTTTTTAATAATTACCTTCAAAGTCTAGTCTATTCTTATCTGACAAAATAGTGTCCCGACTCTCCAAATGTTGGATTAATAGCAATACCATTTTAAACTTCCAATTGAGCTGTGTTGCATGACTTGGATGTTAATTGTGTAACAGGTCGAGTTGAGGATGCATATTGGAACCTAAGGAGAACATCAAGGTCTATTACACAGAAATTGTCTGGAGAGACATCTAAATCTGAAGAGTCTAATAATTCACATGATTTGGAGGGGCACCTAGCAGATTCTTCTAATGACAGAACAATGGATAATTCTGGAGAATCTCATGCATTGGGAGGAAGAGATTTATTTGACGTAGTATCCTTTAAGAAAGCAAATTTTGTTGGAAATTGGTTTCCGCCAGAACCCAAGTATGATACAATTATATGGTATGTACATTTGTGCCTCATGTTACACTTCATCTGCCCCAAAACAGGGTTTCTACTTTCCTTTTTATCCATCCCAAAAATCCAGTTTCTTTTGAGGAAGAGTTGAGTGAATAGTTCTCATCCAGAGTTTTACTTTCTTCATATTGGTGCCGGCATGAACGTGTAACCTTTTAATGGACAGGGAGAGCATTAGCTTGTGGTTGCAATTGCACTTTTCTTATGCTTATTTTCGGAAGTTTTCATTTGTTCACTTTTTCTTTTGGCAGTTTAAGTGTGTCAAAATGGGTGCAGTTAAATTGGGGTGACGAGGGATTAATTTCTCTGTTTGCGAAGGCATGGAAGTATCTCCGACCGGTACTAAATGCTATGATAAATAATGTCCAGAGTTCTAACGTAGACCTGGTGTCATGGAAACTGGGCTTAATTTTTGCTCACCCTCTTGCAGGGAGGTGTGTTTATTCTGGAACCGCAGCCATGGAAGTCCTATTCTAATAATCGTCACGTCTCGGAAGTTAGTATCCTATTCTTTTTTCATTTGGCTTGTGTAGAAACCCACAAATTATTATTTTAAAATCCAAAATGGCAAAATGAACTGGTCACAAACTTCCCCTTCTCTTGCAGGCAGCTAGAGTTAATTATCAAAATATTAAGATCTATCCGGAAGATTTTCAGGAAATACTTTTGGACAAGGTAAATTTCTCCCTTTTTTCACTATTATCAATGATGTTCTATTTAACTAGCTATTGATGTTAACTTTTTGAGTAGATGTTTGCATAAGTCGATTGCTTCAGCTATTTAGGAATGAAATGTTTGGGGCTTTTAATGTAAAAAAGATGTAAACAAAAAAAACTGTTACTAAAAAGCTTGAATTTCAAGTTTTTTTTGTAAACCAACTTTTTAGGACCTAAATGCGCTCTCGAATAGTTGGTTACGGAACACTTCATATATGTTTGACAAAAACGAAACATCTCGTTTAGTTCCAAAATCTACTTTAAGCAAAAAGACATGTCCAAAACGTTGTGTGCCAAATCCTTCTCTATGAACAAAGAAAATTGATCTTTTCTATATGCAATCAATCCATTGGCAGATTGGATTTCGGTCGGTAGAAGACATAACCTCTTGTGCAGCTGGTCGGAAAGCTGGATTTGAAAGACCTATTTTTGCATTCTGGAAGTGATTTAACATTTTTCTTCGTGGACAGCGCCAATTAGGAGGCCATATCGTGTTCAACTTTATACAAATTTTGCATCATATGGGGCAGTTAAAGGTAAAAAAAACCCCATGACCAGTTATGTTTTGAACAGGGAGCTAGACTTATGCAACTATTACATACTACGGAGTAGCATTTTGTATAGTACGGAGTAGTTACTTATCTAGAATAGTATTGTACGGAGTATTAATTAAGGGCTTGTTTGGGAATAGCGTTTGAGATTAGCGTTAGCGTTTTGGATAAAATTTTAATGATGTAGATTACTTTGAAAATGCTAGCGTAGCTTTTTCAAAACGCGAACGCTAATCTCTAACGTTATTCTCAAACAGGCCCTAAGTGAATGATACTCCATTATGATATTCTAACCTAAATTATCTTTCATTAGCTCAAATTCGTTCAACCGTTCTCGACTCAGTCGACCAGAAAGTGTTTTTCCAATATTTAACTTAAGAGAGTTTTCCTTCTCAAGTTTCAAGAGGTGCCTCATGAGGTCATGAGTCTTGAATCACCTTAAGGAGACCCCGGAACCTTGGGGCGGGGGGGGGGGGGGATGTGGTTTTAACGAGAGAGACTAGCTTTTCTTCAATATCAATTGAACCAGTATCTTATTAACGCAAGAACATCAAATGTATATTTCAACCCAAAGGTAAAAAAGTAAATAAAATGTAAAACAGAAGTAATCCAATGTAAATCTCCTTTGCATTGTTACGACAATAACAATGTTAAAGAGAATCCAAGATCATGCCCACCCTATGATTATCAAAGTTGCTCTGTATTTTTTGCCTGACCATCACTTGCAATTTTTTTTTATTTTTTTACTTATTTTTATATTTCAAGACTGTTCAATGTTGCCTGATTTTAACGGAGGGTTAATAGTGTTATAATTCGAATTTTGAACCGTTTCTGAAAGGGTTATAAAGACATGAAATCTAAAATGACTATTAACAAGACAAAACAACTTGAAGTAGCAATTTAGTTTGACAAATAAAGACGTGAAATCTATTCACGAGACAAAACAATTCGAAGTAGCGATTCTCATGACAACATAAGTACTATCGAGAAAACAAAATGCAGTTATTCACAATGAGCATGTTGATGACACACTCTCAAGGCGTTGCCACCTGGTCGAAGTGATTTCGTTTTGCTCGTTTATATCATCAACATACTTATTTATTACACCTTAGTTCTCCTGGCATTGATATTCAATGTTATGGAATGATCCGAGGTTGATACGATGCTCCGATCAATAAATTGATGGTTCTCACCCCCTAACCCTCCCAATAAACCCCCATCCCCGGCCCGACACAAACATTCCCCCCAACCCAGCCAATTGCATGCCACAAGATTTAGTTGACTTTGGGGCATGCAATTGACGGGGGTGCGGAGGTATGTTCAGGCCGGGCCGGGGATTGGGGGGTAGAAACCATCAATTTTTCGAACGGATGTCACCCGAACCGCTCCCTAATTATTATAGAGGAGTAGCATGGGGTTTTTCTTCTTGTTGTAGAGTGCTAGAAGTTCTTGAAGAAGTCATGGATGTGGTGGTTGACCTCATGAGGCCTTTCTTGGTTGAGGAAATGGGCAGCTCCATGAATCACAACAACCTCTTGGAGCAATGGCACATCCCTCTTGAGCCCATTGTGTACATATTCCTTGACCCCAGGTGTGGTATACACCAGGTCAACACTCCCAACCATGAACTTCACTGGCACTCTCACTTGTGCCCCTGTCCATGCTGCTGTTAGCTCCCAGTTCCTGCCAATTCCCAAACATTATTAGGATTGGATTAAGAACCCCATTTATGAAATGCAAGTGGTAGATTCAAGACTTGTGGATTTTATTTTCAATCGAGTATATTTGAAAATTGATGTAGAATTAAAAAAAAAAAAGTATTACTTCCTCTGTCCCAAATTATATTCACAGGATCAAACTTCATTCACTTTGTTTCTCTATTTTCGTTAGACATTTGACAAAATTATATAGTCATGTTACTACTATTAGTTTTGCAGATTCTTTGGTGTAGTTTTTAACATGTAATTCTTATTTTTAATTCTATACCATTTTTCATATAAAATGATTTGAAAATAATTTTAGTCAAACATCATAAACCAAAACAGGTAATATAAATTGGGACGGAGGGAGTATATATTTAAAAAACATTAAAACTTTAGGAAACAAAATTTGTAAAAAAACAAAATATAGTTTGGCCCCTGAAATAGTAAATACGAAGTAGAGTGGAGTTCTGTTGACACTGGCCAACGGTGCCACCGCATTCTCGGAGTACTTCTGGTGCTCCAATAGAAAAATTGATTGATCTTACCTCCCCCTAGCTCACCCCCTGAATCTGATTGAATTTTCCGGGAGAAATGAACCATCAATTTTTCGATTGGAGCACCGAACAGAAATGCAGCGGCGCCGCGATACAATTTTTGTTTCACCAAAGTTGTTTTTTGAATAGGGAGGGGGGGACACTTACAGATTGAAAGCGCGATAATAGTTGAGGCCGCCGGTGAAGCCCTTGGCGTCGCCGTACTTGGAAGCAAAGTAGCGGAGGTCCTGTTCGGATAACCAAGAGGGCAACTCTGGTTCATCCGTGGATATTTGGAATGGGTTTTCCTTTGGCAGGCAAGCCGGGCCCGGGCTCCGGTCCGTGAATATTTTCCTCATCACCTTTTCACTCCCGTGTCTCGCGATTTCAGATTCAATCTCTCCCGGTTCCTAATCCGCCCATCAAAACAAAAACATACAATTTCAATCTCTCTACTTGGTATGAATTTTGACCTTATTAATATTCCTCCCGTTCTACAAAGCCCTTTGACTTTTGGAAAAAATAACTAAAATGTAATTTTGATTGACTTTCCTAATTTGCCCTGATGTGATGGGAAAAAGTAAGATGAGATAGTTTGGTTATTAGTGAAAAAGTATGATGTGATAGGTAGGATATAGAAAGGTAGGTTAGGTAAGAGGTAAAAGTGATTTTTTAATAGAAAGTGGAAGTGTTTTGTGGAAATAAAAGAAAACGAAAGAGGAAAGGTTTTGTGAAACGGATGGAGTAATGAATTTGAAAAATAATGCATGAATGCCTTTTACCACCTGGAATCTGCACACGTAGTAGTCCTCTCCGAACAGTGCCTTCATCCCTTCCACCGGCTTCACCGCCGGGTGCCGCTGCCGGAACGGCACGGAGATACACACGAACGCTGCCACCACGTCCGGCCGGAACAGGCAGAAATACCACCCGATGATGGCGCCCCAGTCGTGGCCCACCAGCAGAACCTTGTCCGCTCCCAGGGAGCGGACAAGCTCCACCAGGTCGCCCACGACGTGGAGGCAAGTGTAGGCGGAGACGTCGTCCGGGGTGTCCGTGTCGCCGAAGCCGCGGAGGTCCGGCGCCACGGCGCGGTACCCGAGGGCGGCAAAGTGGTGGAGCTGGTGGCGCCATGAGTACCACAGCTCCGGGAAGCCGTGCAAGAAGAGGACCACCTGGCCGCCGCCGCCGCCTTGCCCCTTCTCGGCGACGTGCATGTTGATTCCGTTTACCTTTACTATGCTGTGTTTGATACCTTCCATTTCTCAAGGATTGGTAGATCTTGATACTTAAATTCGAGCACTGGTGTTTGTTTACCTTACATGTATTTATATACTCCAATTTTATTTGTTTATTTTTGGTACCCATTTACTACCTCCCTATCTCAGTATTTGTTGAGTTTTCATTTTTTTCGATCACTGTTTTCAACTTTTAACTTATAATCAAATAAAATATATGTTGTATATTGATTAGATAAAATAATATTTTAAAAATATTAGATGTAATGCATCTAATAAAATTATTTTTGTATCAATTTCTAATACGGAGTATCATTTTTATTTAATTTGAGGTCAAGATTTATCAATTTCGATTGAAAAAAATCAAAAGAGAGTAATTATCTTCATATTTTTATTTGAGTTGTCTTAAAATTTTCTTCTTTTTCTTTTTTAAGAAATTAAACAAAGGTGTATGTGGTCAATATTATTTTTCTTTCTTCACAAACTATAAAGTGTAACTATACGAATTTCATTTTATTAAAATTTTTTTCATGTAAAACTAAGAAGAAAATCATGGGACGAAAAAAATACAAGAGAGTAGTCATGTTACTTCTTGTTTGTTCAAACGGTAGTATTCTTTGCTCACGAATTAAATATATAGTTTAAAATAACTACATATTATAAAAAATTGATATTTCAAAATTATGTTTTAAGATAAATCCAATTTTACCAAAGTTACATTATATTATAATTAAATATATTTTTTCTATAATTTATTACAATAATATAATTTGATCAAAAAGTTAAACTATTTGTTGAGAGATGAGGTAGCAGATCAGCCTCAAGCCGTGAAGAGGTACTGAGAAATTAATTGAAGAAGCGGCCACGTGAGGGGTCTCTAGAAGATGGAGCTTTAATTAAATGCTTTTATTATATACTCCCTCCGTCCCAAAAAGATCGTTACGTTTCATTTCTTTGTGCATTCCTTAAAATATTTTTATATCGTCTAAAATACCAAAAAAACTTTCAAAACAATTTCATCTTATAATAAAGAGTAAATATGGTAAATTTTAGAAATTTTAGATGTGAGTAGCATTGCTTTTTGTGATGCGCAAAGAAATGAAACGTAACAATCTTTTTGGGACGGAGGGAGTGTATATATATATATATGTATGTATGTATGTATGTCTATATATCCATATTTGGTTATGTTGTAGTAGGCCACAATTCAACAACCAAACATGACACAATCTCCTTTTGGATCATGCTACACTTACACCAAAAAATGTACCTTACTTTTACACTACAGTTTTGTACAAATATTTTGATAGTTTACATTGATACAAGTGTTAGTGTGTTAACAAAAATTTTACACGGACACAAATGTTGGTACGTTAACAAAAATTAGTTTTACACCAACACAAAATGATGGTGCAAACCTGCGAGTACAAATTGAGGTATAAATGTTGGGGTACACATAGCTTAATCCTCTCTTTTTTTGTATATTGGCATTTATTTGTGTTCAACTTAATATAAATGCATTATATTGGATTATTGGTGCATAGGACTAGCCAATGAATGAAAGGGGCATTCATTAAATAGGGTCTTCAACAATCTCATTGCATTGGTGCCTGGGGTGGCAAAACCCATTTTATAATGACCTATTTTGATTTTAATAAAGATATTTTGGGGGAGAAAAATAAAATTATTTTTCCTCCTCTTACTTGGATTTTTTTGGATTGAAGAAAATATAAGTATGTTTTATCTTTTAATTAATAGAGTCAACGTAAAATTATTTAATATTTAAAATTTTCTCCCGCTTTGAGAGGAAAAAATAATAGAATTTCTCTCTAGCTTGAGTGGTAAGAAGTCCACTCTCATGATTCATAAGAAAGTTCACCCACTTTTGAACCCATGTATAGGCGTTGGATCTCCATGCGTTATTATATTGAGAATAATATAAATAGATACTACTTTGTAGGCAAATTGTATGGTGGACCTAATCTCCACCATAGACTTACATATAAGCAAAATAAACATTTCTTTACTACTTAAATAAATCTTTGTTTTTTCAAATATGCGCCTAATGTGCACCAAAAAAGCACTCCTGCCTTGTAATGGATAGCACTAAAAAAAATGGAGGATTTGCATTCACCTCTCCAAACCAAATGGTGTACCCCATTTGTCCCCCACCCCTTTCTCCACCACTCAATTTTTTTTTTATTTAATTTTTTTTTATTTTCTTGCCTTTTATTGTGGTGATGGAGGGGGTGGGGGACAAATGAGGTACACCTTTGGTGTACCCCTAGCATTTTTCTATATCTATTCATTCCTTTATTTTTTCAATCTTTATTTTCTTTTCGTTATTATTTTTCCTCTTTTAAACAATGGGTAAAATTTTGTGTTGAAAATTTAGATCTTTTTTTCATTGGTTCGGATTAAGGAGTGTTTTTCAAAATCATTTGTGTTGAAGCATTTGCATTCAATTTTTTCTAAATCATTTTGTTTCTGAAATTTTTCTGTGCATTTTTTTAATTTACTACCTCAGTTCCAAAATAATTTACTCTTTACTATTACGATTTTTTGATATCTTTTATTGTTTGCATACTTTTATTAATTGTTTGTTAAAATTAAATATTCATGTCGCATCTTGTTTTGTAAAAATTTTGATATAATTTTAGAAATTACTCCGTAAATTTTATTTTTATTTCTATACCAATTTGTAAATAAATTGATTTAAAAATCACTACATGTCGTTCGAATAGGAAATATTATTTTGGGATAGAGGGAGTACGCTTTTTAATTACCGTATTAAACTTTTTACAATTACGAAACTTTTCATTTCTAAATAAAATTGAAATTCTTTGTATCAAAATAGTTTCTTAATAAATCAGAACATAAAAAGTTTTAAAAGAAATAGATCTAGATGAATATCAAATAAGCAGAACAGAGAAAATTTATTAATGAGATGATTTTGAAACACAAAATTAACAAAAAGGAATGTTTGATAAAATTAGCTGTTTAAATATATATATATATATATATATATATATATATATATATATATATATATATATATAGGATTGACTCTAGTGAGATGACACATTATGGTGAGATGACATGTTTCGGTGAGATGACGCAAAGCTCACCACACTACACTACAAAGCTCATCAATGGACAATGCAAAGCTCACGTAAAAATAAAGTAAACCTCACCATTTTGAACACCAAAACGCACTTTTTTAATTTTAAATATTTAAAATTAATAAAAAATAAAATTGCGACATCGGTAACGGCGGCAGGGCGGCGATAGATTCCGGCAGCCAGTGGCGGGGCGGCGGCTACCGGTGTCCTGGCGACCGGCGGCGGCAGCAGGCATCGGATTCTGGCTACCGGCGGCGGCAGGTGACGGTCAAAGATCTCGATCAACGGTCAAAGTTCAGTGAGCACTCCTTTCTTTGATTTTATTTTTTCAAAAAAAATTCAAAGTGTTGAAAAAATGTGGTGAGCTTTGGCTTACAATTTGATGAGCTTTGTAGTTGTCATTGGTGAGCTTTGCAGTTGGCAGTGGTAAGCTTTGCTCATCTGACCGTAGCATGTCATCTCACCGTAAGATATCATCTCTGGAGTCAATCCCATATATATATATATATATATATATATATATATATATATATGCATTCCACAAACATCCACATAGGGTAGTATATATACAAAAGATACAAATGCAAAACACTGCATTTTTTCGTCACGAGGTTTATTTGAAGACTAGTGATGAAGTGCAAGTACGTACTTAATTACCTTTCCCCTCCTTTTATCCGGGCTGGGGACCGGATGCTCTCACAGGCGGAGTTAAAAAGCATAATTAAACTACACAATAACCCTTTCAAAATAAATAAATAAAAAAAAGCCATACAAAGAGATAAAAACCATAAAAGAAAAAAAATTTCTCCGTACATCACTTATTTATTTCTGAACATATTTTAATGCACAATAAAATTGAAACCCAAAGATGAAAAAATAAGGTAATAAAATAAAGAGATTTAAGTAATTTAGCAAGACAGAAAACCAGTCTGAAGTCAATAGAATAGAAGTATGAGAGGAACAAAAGAGATTCTTCTCAAACGAGCGAGTCAAATATCTCTTTTTTGTCATAAGAGAGCAACCCAAGGCCCCCTAATTGGAAAATGCAAAAACTACATTATATAAACCCCACATAAAAGTCAGCTGTGCCTAAAAATGAATACCCCATCAATGTAATCCCCAAACACAAGAAAATAGAACTTTCCAGGAAATGAAATTTTGGATAAACAGACCTGAATTCATTGCTCATCCTGAATGAGCAGCACAAGCCGAATTAGTTGCACGAGAAGTTAGGCAGGACGTCCGAGGATAAAACTGAATACCACTAGTATTATAAATGATGAGGACAGGGACGATGAAGCAAACGTAACAGATCCATTTATATCATACATCCATGATATGAGCAATGCATAACACTCCCACCACAATAAAAATGATGTTTAGATGTTCGATTGGGAGATGTTACACAAGTAAGCAATTGATATAGATCAACCTTATCTTTATTCTTCATCAATAAATACAAAACCCAGATGGAGGCCGAGGACCTTGTACTTGTCACCCTGCCGGAGGTTACATCAACAAATCTAGAATGACAAGTTACAGCAACAGAACAACATATCCACAAAATCTTGGATCTGATATCTTGTTAAGCAAAAGGCATCGAAAGAAGCATTGGCATTCGGACAAGTACTATTATTCCGTGGTGGGAATTTCAAACATTTTGTATGAAGAGCATCAAATTACTACTATTCTGTCTGTAAGGGGGGTGAGAGCACTAATTCACGATTACCTTATACCACGCCTGTCAAATCATGGAAAGAAAAGCCCCATGACCTTCACATGCAAGTTGATCTGGATGTATCTTTCTTGACAATGAAACTAATCCCCCTTGCTTCTGTTGCTGACAAAATAGACATCTCTATGTCTTCAGCTCTTCGCTGTAGTTCACCTATTTTTTGGGCATAAAACTTGCAAAGGTTTCTAGATATTTTCAACAGATCTACTTGTAGCATCACATCTAATGTTTAAATCTCAAAATCAGAGTATTTTCAATAACTCCACTTCAAGCTTCTCCTTCCTTGACTAGGTTTTGATACGAAACATAGCAACTGATCAGGGTGAAATAATAGTGCAGAACTTCCTGAAGTGTAAGCAATGCACACCACCTTGAAATCGAACCAACTTGCGCAGCCAGATAAATTCAAAATCATGCAAGCAAAGTCAACTGAATGTTCTGTTGAACATATATTACTCATCAGAACCTAATCATATATTATTAATATGACCCTAGAATGAGATCAAGATAACATACTCTATCGTGATTATAAACCTTTGTAATATTTATTTAATTGGAGATTATGAGAGTCAATCAAGACAAAACTAACCCTAGATGTTCCATATATGATATGGTTGGAAAATCCATTATACTACACTCCCTCTATACGAGAATAAGGTCACGATTTTGCTCTTTCCGATGCAAAAAAAAATCAGAACTAAATTATAAAATAACATTTATGTTATAGTATTTTGAAACTAAATCAATAGTTTTCTACAAAGAAAAGAATAAGAGGAGGTGACTAGACTATTGCGGAGTACTTAATATTACCAAATGACCAATGAACTGGTACCAGTTTTCAGAACTGAAAGCCTATTAATTGAATCTTAAGTCTGTTGTAATGAAAAACCTTGCAGTAAGGACTCGGCCACACCAATAAACCAAGGCAAGAAATAGATTAACCTAATCAGGTGTCGTAGCTTTAAATCCACAAATTGAAAGCAACCAAACAACGTACCCAAAAAATTCTTACCAGGGGAAAAAATCTTGGATCAGAAATACGCAGTAGTCTTCAACAAAAGCCTTCTAGAGAAGCTTTACCATCTTCACAACTACAATAGCTAGACATGATGGGATTTTCAAACGTTTTGCATCAAGAGCATTAGATTACTACTATTCGGTTTGTACAGAGTGATACCACTAGGTTGTGATAACCTTCTACCTCGTTGGACATAGAGAGTGTCTAGGAAAGAAAGCTCCATAACCTCCATATGCATTTTGATCTGGACAGGTCTTTCTCGACAGTTAAGCTATGCCCCCTCCCTTCTGTTACTAACAAAAAAGACGTCTCTATGTCTGCTATAATTAACGATTCATTGAGCATAAAACTTGACAAGGCTTCCGTACATTTTCAATACATCTACTTCGAATATCACATATAATGTTTCAGACTCAAAACCAGAGAATTTTCAATAGCTCCACTTCCTCCAAAAACATAGTTATTGTCATATCCATTTCCACTAACAACATAATCACCGTGCAGAACCGCTTGAAATAAGCAATGGACACATTGAAATAAAACTAAGCCATCTCATTCAATCACCCATATTCAAAAAATTGTGGACATGGCTGACATCAAGTCCAATAACAGGATAAACAACACATCAGGTCCAGCTTGCTCAGCCAGATGGATCCAAAATATTGCAAGCAAAATCAAACATGTGATCTATTACTCATCATTGTATCAAAAAATTAATTTGTACCGGTTTTCAGAACTGGATGATTATCTATTGGATCTTAAATCTCTTGATGTAAAGACTCAGCTGCAGCAACGAACCAAGGCAGGAAAGTAGATCAACCTTATCTTTGTTCATCAGCAAGAAATATAAAAAATCCAGATGAGATGACCTTGTACTTTCCATCAAATCTCCTCTTTGAACTTACATCAATAAATTGAGAGCTACAAGTTCCACTGTACCAGTTACCAAAAAACATACCGACAAAATTTCATTTCAGGGGGATATTTAACCAAAATCATGGATCTGATATATTGTTTAACAAAATCCATTTAGAGAAGCTTTAGCATCTGGAAACTTACAAAAGCTAATGCGATTTTCAAACATTTTGCAGGAAGAGCATTAGATAACTACTATTCCATTCGTACAGAAAGACCACTAGTTCATGATTCCCTTCTACCTCACTGGTGAAAAGGGGTAACTTGGAAAGAGAGCTCCATAACCTCGATATGCATGTTCATCTGCATGTTACTTTTTCAATAATGAAGCTAATCCCCCTTGCTCGTATTGCTAACAAAAAAGATTGTCTATGTTTTGGGCTTTTGGCTGAAGTTCACATGTTGTTTGGGCATAAAACTTGACGAGGTTTCTGTGTTTTTAATAAACCTACTTCCAACCTTAAATCTAATGTTTGAGGCTCAAAATCAAGCATTTTCAATAATTCCACTTCCAGCATCTCCTTCCCTGACTATTGAAATCTCACAAGTGAAGTCGAATCTATGATCTGTACCACTTGTATAAGTCATCCGAGCCTACATTTGACAGGAAACTTGGAAACAGATCATGATAAAATAATTCTATCAGGATTATAACGGTCATGGTATTTATAGATTATGAGAAGAAGTCTAGTAAAAGCTAACACAAGAGAATTTGTACATAGTTCTTGTCAAATCCAGTTCTGCTAACAACATAGTCACAGGCTTACTGAGCTATACAAAATGAAAAACACAAACTTAGTGAGCTACAATTTTACTGATACCCTGAATAGGGCAAACTTTGTGGTCTCTTAGAAAACTAGAAGACATGACCTTGTAGTTGGAAGCATAGATTTTCAGAAACTGATCACAAAACCCAAACATATCCGGGCAATGAGCATTAAAGGATGAATTCAATAACACTCTGTGTTGGAAGAAAGTACGAAATCTGAACCACATAAGCCAAGATCCAAATAATTCTATTCAAAAACCATGTCTAGTAAACATTATGATCTGAAGCTTCAAGCCCTTTCTTAGTGGCATCACATCAATAATCTATGAACGCTCTGAAATGATTTAAGTACTTTAGGAAGACATAAAACCTGTCTGAAGTCAATAGAGCAGAGGCATGAGAGGAACAAAAGAGATTCTTCTTAATATCTCTTTATCATAAGAGAGCAACCCAAGGCCCCTAATTGGAAAATGCAAAAACTATATCATCTTAAACCACACATAAAAATCAGTTGAGCCTAATAACGAAGACCCATCAATGTACCCTCAGACACAAAATAGGCACTTGCCAGGAAATGAAATTTTGGATAAACAAACCTGAATTCATTCACAGTGGTACGCATTGCTCATCCTGAATGAGCAACACAAGATGAATGTCACAAGAGAAGTTAGACCAGATGTTTAAGGATAAAACTGAGAAATCACTAGTATTGTGAATGATGAGGCAACAACAATGAAGCGAACACCACAGATCCATTGTCTTTCATAGAGCCAAGAGATGAGCAATATATAACATTCCCGACATAAGAAATGATGTCTGTTTGAATGGGAGATCTTACGTAAGTCAGCAATTGATATAGGTCAACCTTATTTTTGTTCTTCAGTAATAAATATAAAATCCAGATGAAGCCAAGGACCTTGAACTTGTCATCGAATCCCCTATCTGAGATTAACAAATCTAGAACAAGTTACAACAACAAAACAACATAGCCACAAAATCTTGGATCTGATATCTTGTTAAACAAGATGCATTCGAAGAAGCATTGGCATTTGGACAAGTGAAGTAAAAAGAGGTGGTGGGAATTTCAAACTAATTTGTGATTACCTTCTACCTTCTATCTCTCTTGTTAACTCTTGGAAAGAAAGTCCCATAAGCACAATAAGCCAGTTGATCTGGATGTATATTTTTCTACAATGAAGCTAATCCCTCTTACTTCTGTTGCTGACAAAAGAGACATTTCTATGTCTTCTGCTCTTCACTGTAGTTCGCCTATTTTTTGGGCATAAAACTTGCAAAGGTTTTGAGACATTTTCAATAAATCTACTTGTAGCATCACATCTGATGTTCGAAAATCAAAATCAGAGTATTTTCAATGAATCCACTTCTAGCATCTCCTTCCTTCACTAGGTTTTGATAGGAAACATAGCCACTGACCAGGGTAAAAAAATTCTATCAGGATTATGACAGTCGTGGTATTTATAGAATAAGACGTGGCATAATTATAGAGCAGAACTTCCTGATATATAAGCAATGGACACCTTGAAATCAACCAACTTGCACAGCCAGATGAATCCAAAATCATGCAAGCAAAGTCAACGAAATGTTCTGTTCCACATCCATTACTCATCAAAACCTTAATCATATATTAATAATATGATCCAAGAATTTGATCAAGATAACATAATCTATGCTGAAAACCATACTCTATCTTGCCTATAAATCATTTAAGTATTTATTTATTTAAAGATTATGAGAGTCAATCAAGATGAAACTAACCATAGATGTTTCCATATATGATTTGGTTCTTGTAAAATCCATTATATCATACTCCCTCTGTACCAGAATAAGGTCCAGATTTAGCTCTCTCCGATGCAAAAATAAAAATATAAAATAAATAAAAATAAGAGTTAAATAATTTATGTACTAGTATTTAGAAACTAAATCAATAGTTTTCTACAAAGAAAAGAAAAAGAAGAGGTGACCAGATTATTGCAGAGTACTTAATATTACCAAATGACTAATGAACTGGTACCGGTTTTCAGAACTAGATGCTTATCAGTTGGATCTTAAATCTGGTGTAATGAAAAACCTTGCAGGACTCGGCCACACCAATAAACCAATGCAGAAAATAGATCAACCTGATCAATATTCATCAGCAAGAAATATAAAATCCATGTGAGGCCGGAGACCTTGTACTTGACACCGAATCACCTATCTCAGCTTACATCAATAAATCAAGAGAGCTGCAAGTTCCAGCAACCAAAAAACATGCCCACAAAATTTTTTACCAGGGAAAAAATCTTGGATCTGATATATTGTTCAACAAAGGCCATTTAGAGAAGCTTTAGCAACAGGACAACAAAAAATAGCTAGACGTGGTGGGATTTTCAAGCATTTCGCATGAAGAGCACTAGATTACTACGATTCTGTTTGGGCAGAGTGATAAAACTAATTTGTGATTACCTTCTACCTCTCTGGACAAAGGGAGTGTCTAAGAAAGAGAGCTACATAACCTCCATATGCATGTTCATTTGCAAGTTACTTTTTCAACAGTGAAGCTAATCCCCATTGCTTCTATTGCTGACAAAAAAGATGGTCCATGTTTTGGCTGTAGTTCAGCTATTCTTTGGGCATAAAACTTGACAAGGTTTCTGAGCACTTTCAATAAATATACTTCCAACATCACATCTAATTTTTGTGACTCAAAATCAAGCATTATCAATAATTCCAATTCCAACAGCTCCTTGATTGACTAACGAAATCTCACAATTGAAGTCAAATCTATGATCTGTGCTACAGAAACTAGGTTTGATAAGTAACTTGGCAACAGGTCATGATAAATAATTCTATCCGGTATATGATGGCCGTGGTATTTATAGTCTATGAGAAGGAAGTCAAGTTGAATCTAACACAAGAAACTTCGTACCTAGTTCTTGTCAAATCTATTTCCACTAACATAACCACAGCGCAGTCACAGTGCAGAACTTCCTGATATATATGCAATGGATACCTTGAAATCAAACCAAGCCATCTCATTCGATTACCCAAATTCACAAAATTGTTTGACATGATAACAGGATAAAGAACACATCAGGATCAACTTGCCAGCCAGATGAATCCAAATATTGCAAGCAAAACCAAACAAATGATCAGTTCTGCATCTATTTCTCATCAGAACCTAATCATAAATTATCCAAGAATCTGATAAAGAAAACAAATCCTATGCTGATAACATACTCTATAGCCTATTCTATCTTGATTAGAAATTGTTGAGGTATTTATGGATAATAAAAGTATGACAAGATGAAACTAACCATAGATGTTCACAAATGATTTGGTTCTGGTAAAATCCATTATATCATACTCCCTCCGTACAAGAATAAGGTCCAGATCTTGTAAAATTTCAAAAATTGAAAAAAAAAATTAAAAATTAAAAGTTCTATACTTTGTATTTAAAAACCAAATCAATAGTTTTCTACAAAAGAAAAGAAAAAAGTAGAGGTGACTAGACTATATTATTTTATTTTACAAAATGACCAATGAAAACATTTGAGGTAAGACGATACAATCCAAACATGTGAATGTTGGGAACACATGCAATAAATAATGAAGAAAATAAACCCTTCACCTTACTTTGTCACAACAAAAGAGTTGGAAGCGGTTTTTAGAACTGCACAATTATCAATTGGATCTTAAATCTATTGAAATAAAAAAAACTTGCAGTAAGGACTCACCTAGACCAATAACCAAGGAAGAAAAATAGATTGACCTCATCAATTTTTATCAGCAAGAAATATAAAATCCAGATGAAACCGAGGACCTTGTACTTGTCGAGAAGCTTATACTTGAAATCGAGTCACATGTCTAAGTTTACATCCGGAAATTGAGAGCAACAATTGCTAGATGTGGTGAGATTTTCAAACATTTTGCATGAAGAGCATTAGATTACTACTATTCTGCTGGTAAAGAGTCAGAGCACTAACTCATGATTACCTTCTACCTTGTTGGTCAAACAGAATGTCTTGGAAAGAGAACTCCATAACTACCATATGCCTGTTGATCTGGATGTATTACTAATCCCCCTTGCTTCTGTTGCTGACAAAAAAACTCATCTCTCTGTCTTTGTTGTAGTTCACCTGTGCTGTAGGCACAAACCTTGACAAGGTTTTAGTGCAGTTTCAATCAATCAACTTCCAGCATCCTATCTATTGTTTGAGACTTAAAATAAGGGCATTTTCAATAAGTTCACTTCCAGCATCTAATTCCTTGACTATTGCAATCTCACAATATAACTCAAATATATGATCTGCGCCACTTCTACAAGTCATCAAGGCGGTTTTATAAGAAAAATAGCAAGTAATGAAAACAAAATTCGATACGAGAGGTGGTCAAGAAGCGAGTATATCAGAAACTGTGCATGGCTCTTGTCAAATCCATTTATACTAACAAAAAACCACAGTGCAGAACTTCCTAAATATAAGCAATGGACGTCATGAAATCAAACCAAGCAGTCTCATTCAACCACCCAAATTCACAACATTGTTGACATGAATGACATCAAGTCCAATAACAGGATAAACAACATATCACCCTGCTCAGCCCGATGACTCCAAAATATTGCAAGCGAAGTCAAAGCAATGGTCTGACCCACACCTATTAATCATCAGAACCTAGGCAAATATGATCCAAGATGAACAAGATAACATAATCTATAACATTTTCTATCTCGGTTATAAATCATTGTGGTATTTATAGATTATGAGAGTCAATCAAGAAAAAACTAACCATAGAGTGATAGACAGTTCATATATGATGTGGTTCTAGTAAAATCCATCATGTAAAGAAAGAAGATAAGATTTAAACATGTGAATAGGGATGTTGAGAACGAGCAATAAAGAATGAACAGAATCCTTCATCTTAATTCGTCATTAAAAACCTTGCAGTAAGGACTCATCTGCACCAGCAAACCAAGGTAGAAAATAGATCAACCACAGGTGAGGCCGGAGACCTTCTACGTGACACCGAATCACCTATCTCAGCTTACATCAACAAATCAAGAGAGCTGCAACTTCCAGCAAGCAAACATACCCACAAAAATTCTTACCAAGAAAAAAACCTCGGATCTGATATATTGTTCAACAAAGGCCTTTTAGAGAAGGTTTGGCAACTGGACAATAAAAACAGCTAAACATGGTAGGATTTTCAAGCATTTTGCATGAAGAGAATCAGATTGCTACTATTCCGTTCGTACGAAGTGAGAACACTAACTCATGATAGCCTTCTACCTCACGGGTCAAAGGGGATGTCTTGGAAACAGAGCTCCATAACCTCCATAAGCCTACTCGGGGCATAAAATTTGACGAAGTTCCAATGCATTTTCAATAAATCAACTCCGCAGCATTTTCAAAAGTCTACTTCCGGCATCTATTTCTTGGACTATCACAATCTCACAATTGAAGACAAATCTTCAAGAAGTCATCAGAGCTAAGGTTATATGGGAAAATTAGCAACAGATCAAGACAACAGAATTTTATTAGGAATTTCAGGATTACGATGGTAGTAGTATTTATTAGATTATGAGAGGTGGTCAAGAAGAAGCAAACCCATCAGAAATTGTGCATAGTTCTTGTCAAATCCTTTTCTAGTACCAAAATTATCACAATGTGGTACTTCCAGAAATAGAAGCAATGGACACCTTGAAATCAAACCAAGCCATCTTATTCGACCACCCAAATTCACAAAATTGTTTACATGACTGACATCAAGTCCAATAACTGGATAAACAACACACAGACCTGCTCAGCCAGAAGAATCCAAAATACTGCAAGCAAAGTCAAACCAATTATTTGTGCCACATTTACTACTCATCAAAATCTAAGTATATATGATCCAGCAATATGATCAAGATAACACATTCAATACTAAATATAATCTATTATGATCGTAAATTCTTGTGGTATTTAAAAATTATAGATTATGAGTCGGTCAAGATGAAATTACCCAATAACCATAGATGTTAATATATGATTTGGTTCTGATAAAATCAATTATATCATACTCACTCCGTACCAGATTCGGCTGTTTCTGATGTAAAAAAATAAAAAAAGTACAATATTAAAGAATAAAATTTATATTATTAAAAATCACATCAATAGTTAATCTACAAAAGAAAAGAGAAAACAACTTCATTTCATTTTATCAAGGGATTAATAAAAACATTTAAAAAAAGAACATGTGAATAGTGATGTGGAACACACAAGCAATAGATAATGAACAAAAGTCTTCTGGTTATTTTGTCAAAACAAAATGAGGCATATGAAAATTTGAGGCTTATAAACTGAATTTTTAACTAGTTGAAATGAAAAGGTTAGAGACAAATCATTCGTCTTAACTCTGAACTGTACCAACAAGTCAAGGTAGAAATAAAAAGTTTAGGAAACGACCATCTTCAGATACCAGGAAATGCCATATGAGATGGTTGGACTTGGACACAGAGTAACCAAAAGAGTCTTTATTGTTCATCAAATAAAATCCAAAAAAGTGCAGCTAAGATTGTGTTGTCCAGAATAGATCAAAATCCAAATAATCATTCAATTTCTAAGATGAACAAGTTTTTTTAAGGGTAGGGTATTTGTTTAACAACCAATGTCCCTTCCACGGATGGCGAGAAATACAACAGAGTAGTTTAGAAGAAATTTCATATAAATACTAAAAATATTTAAATGTTGAGACTATTAAATCAAAAAATATATATAAAAACAATACTAATTTGTAGTAATTTATAACTATTAAATCACAAAATTTTAGCTGCACTTACCTTAAACTATCTAATCAAATAGTATCCTTTAGATTTTAAAATATAATTTAGAATATCAATACTACTTAAAACAATGAATGTCCATGCTTCACTGTAAATAACAAAGGAACTCATACCAAATTATTGCAGGTGAGAGCAAGTATATCATCTGACCTGCATCAGATCAACAGCAAGGTGGAGATCTCTAACAACAGACCAACTCACCAAAACAAATAAGCAATTTCCAAAATAACGAACCATAAAAACATCAGAGGTGAACTCCTACATCATCCGGTTAAACATGAACACAATTAATTTCCAAAAAATAGATACCCCAACTGATCAATCACCATAAAGACAAAACTCCAATAATTAAACTGGGAAGCAAAAACCTAGTGAAGTGGTAATCAAACCTGTTAATCTTGTTCGCCCACTCCGATCCTTGATATGAAATCATAGCAACATCATAGAGTCAAGACAGGGAAATACATCATCAAGGGAAGACAGGGAAACAATTAACAGTAGGAATCAGATAAAGGCGAACCAACAATTAAATCAATTTCCCGGAAACATAATTAGAAATCAAACCAGAAAATCGTGAAAACGAGCGCGCCAACCACTTCCGTCTATGATTTGCCCTACATCGTCGATCAAGGACACGAGAAAGAAAGTATTTGAATGTGGATACATCATGATAAAGGCAAAGCTTCAATAAAATTTAATTATGGGAAGAAGAAATTTATAGCACCCGATCGATCGCGATAAAGGCAGATCTTCAATAAAATCAATCGCCCAGAACAGAAGCAGTAATCAATATACTACCGCAGCAATCAATATATGATCTGAGCAACATCGCGGATCAAAGATAGGAAAACAATTGATTGACAATTGAAGAAAACGAATATCTTCCGAACCGATCGATCCTAATAAAAGCAAAAGTTCAATAAAATCAATCACCGGGAAACGGAAAGCCCTAAAACGAATAGAAAAGACCAGTTTATCTTGTTCACCCCACGCCAATGATAAAATCCAATGACCGGTGCCAGGGATTTACGGCAGCCGATCGGCCGGCCGACGAGAATATAAGCACCACAGAACAGACCAATTGAAGAGAGCGTGATGAATTGGTAGGAGCGTAGAGGAAGGATGGTGGGTATTTATAGGAGCTGAGAGGCGGTCGAATCCACGCGTTTTGGAAAGTCGGTTTGGAACGTTGGATAAGTGGGTATTTATAGGAGCATTGAAAATTTTAAACATCATAAATTAAAAACAAATGGACCCTGCTACACACCCCACCCTTGTTACCAACCTTGCCTCCACCCACTTCTCCACCACATATTTATCTATACTCATTCTTCACCTACCCTCTAATTTTAATTTTCTTGCCTCCCTACCACATGTTTATGTAGGGGGCATGGTTGGTAGCAAGGGTGGGGGTTTTTAGCATTTTCCAAAACAAATTAGGAGTCATGCATTAAATAATACTCGGGAGTAATATAAATTTAATATTTATAAATTTATTTTAAAACATAGCTTTGAAATATTATATTTTTATAATCTATGTTTATATATAAATAGAGATATATTGTGTATATAGTCAATGCAATACATTAGAGACGGAGAAAAATCAAATAAGGAAAAATAATGAGACAAAAGAAGTACAATGTTTTTTTAAATTTTTTTGCCAAGTACAAATTAGATACGAAGTACAATCAACAAAAGAATCACGTTCGTATTTACTTCCTCCCTTTCAAAATGAATTATCTTTTTATTATTACAATTTTTGATAACCTTTGTTTTGTTTGCATATTTTCATTGACTATTTAATAAAATAAATATTCTTGTCATTCTTATTTTGTAAAATTTTTGATGTACTCCATAATTTTTAAATATACAATTTTGATTTTCTATTTGTGTACCAATTTGTAAATAAAATCATTTTAAAGGTCACAATATTTTACACATTAAACGGAGATTGTAATTCATTTAAGGACGGAGAGGGTATGTTTTTTAGGCCCTAAAAATAACACATTGAACTATAGCACAACTCTAATATTAATAAATTTATTCAAAAACATAGTTTTATAATATCATATTTCTATAACTTGTGTGTGTGTAGACACACACACACATATATAGAAATATAAATTGTCAATTTAATATACTGGAGGCCGTAAAAATTAGATGAAAAAAAATATGATGAAGAATTTTAATTTAAGAAATCTCCCTAAATATGAGAAAAAATATAAAAAATACTGCATCCGTCCGAAAATAATCTTCCCACTCTACGTTTTTTTCCGTCCGGAAATAATCTTCCCACTCTACGTTTTTATCAACACTCTTCCAAAAATACCCCTCCTTTCCTCCTTTTCTTCATCCAACCTTTTTTTTCTCCACTGGCCATCCCCCTCCCCTTTCTTCTCTCCTTATCCTCTCCCTCTCTCTTCCCCCTCCCATTCTTTTTCTTTTCCGATCTCCTGGTTTTGTTCATCTTCTTCATTTCTTCTTCCACTCCCTTTTCTTCTCTCTCTCTCTCTCTCTCTTTCAAAATTTTCTTCGTCTTCTTCTTCTTCTCATCCTCCTCCCTCAGATCTACGCCTTCTCCCCCCTTTTTCTTCTTCTTCTTCTAGATTTGTGTTAGATGAGTGGGGCTGGCGGTGATAGTAGAGCAGACGGCGGCGGTGGGAGTTAGATCTGGTAGATCTGTGGGGCTAGCGGTGATAGTAGATCCGTGGGTTTTTCTTCTTTCTTCTTTCCTCCTCCCTCGGGTTTTTCTTTATTTTCTTTATTTATTCTGGTGTGGACTGAAGGAGATGGTGAGGGTAGCGACGGCAATGATGCAATTGTCACCGATGGGGGCTGGGCCAGCAGTGTTTGGTGGATCGGCGGAGGTGGCTGGGGCAGCGGTGGGCTGCGGCAGCGATGGACTGGGGCACAGAGATGCCAAAATAAAGTTGGTCGGCGCTGGGACAACGGTGGCGGTGGACTAGTGGTGGGCTGGGGTGTATTGCTGGGGCATAACAAAAATATTGGAGGGCATTTTGGACATTTTAATACCAAAATTAACACCCACTAAAAATAAGGAAAAGTCAAAGTGGGAAGTTTATTCCGGGACGAAGGGAGTACCAAAATAGAAGTCTTAATTCTTTTAAGACTAAAATAGGAATATAATAGCAGTGTGTCGTAAGAGTAAGCGTTGCAGTATGTTGGAAAAGTGATAACAGTGTAATATATAAGTGTGATCAGTTAATCATCGGTGATCTGAGATTTGACACTTTGGTGTCCGGCGGTGACTGATGGCAGTGTGGCCGACGGTGATAGTGTGGCAGTTACAGTGTGACAATGTGGTGAATATGGTAGTGTAACAACGGCAGTGTAATTTCCTATTTTGATTTTAAAAGACTTATGACTCCTATTTTGATATTTTCATAATCTTATATTCTTATCTAGAGCATTCTCCCTTTTAATTTTTATCTAGAGCATTCTCACTTTTAAAAAAATAATGGTCCATACTCTTTTAACCCCTCTAATCCCCTATCCCGGCGTGACCCAAACCGACTTTCTCACCCCTTCCAATTACACCACACAAAATTTAGTTGACTTTGAAGTCCAAAGTCAACTAAATTTGTGTGGTGCAATTGGAAGGGGTGAGAAGGTCGATTCGGTCGGATGGGACAGAGGGGGTTTACCGAGGGGTAGGGACCATCAATTTTTTAAATGGAGAACCGTATGTGTCCCAGTTTCACAAATAATTTTTTTTATCGTCTATCATGTTGGTGTTACTTTGAAGGCTAAAAATACAATTTCACAATGATAATATATCTTTCTTGATATATATAATTTCAAGGGAGATGCTAGGGGTACACCTTTGGTGTACCCCAAATGTACACCACATGCTTATTCACCATCCATTTTCAATTTGATTTTTATTTATTTATTTATTTGAATTTACTTGCCAATTTTTGTGGTCAAGGAGGGGGTGAGAGACATTTGGGGTACACCTTTTTGGTGTACACAAAAAAGGTGTACACCTAGCATTTTCCTAATTTCAAAGGTCACTCATGATGTATCGTTTGTGAATTACAATCACTTTCTATTACAACCATAGTCTACAAATATAGTCTTGCGTCAGAATTTTAGTCCACAATCATAGTTATTATTTTCGTGTCATCTGTCTAATTAATATCAGAATATGTCACTGGACGTAAGATTGATGTCAAACTATATTTTTTTGCCTTTAAGTTAACACCAACATGACAGCATATAAAAAAATATTTATAGAAAGATACCCATAAAAGAAGAATTACAAAAATAATATTTGATAATAGATGACTAAACATGAAAATCTTTTCAAAAAAAATAAATTAAGTTTAAATACTCCCTCCGTTCCACAAAACCCTTCTAGTTTTGACTTTGAGGAAAAATAAGAAAAGTGTAATTTTGTTTGACTTTCCAATTTTGCCTGTGGGAAAAAGTAAGATGAGATAATTTGGTTATTAGTGAAAAAGTATGATGTGATAGGTAGAGTATGAAAAAGTAGGGGTATAATGGTTTTTTAATAGAAAGTGGAAGTATTTTGTGGAAAGCAGAAAAATGAAAGAGGAACGGTTTTGTGAAATGGAGGGAGTAGAGTTAGTACATGGTACATCTGGATGTACCTAAAGATAGGTACATCCATGTAGTACTCATCCCGAAATAAAGTAGTACTCATTATCGCACAAGCATAATAGTTCATTTGAAAAATGTGATACTCATTCTGAAATAACGCAGTACTCATTCAGAAATAACGTCGTATTCATTTTCACAAATTTATTCAATATTCATTTACGTATAACATAACATTCATTCTAAAACACATTAGTACTCATTCCCATATAACCTAGTACTCAATCTCAAACCACATACCATTCATATGATATAATACTGAATAAACTGAAAATCCGGAAGAAAAGATCCTGTAATCGCTAAAAAAATAGGGAACAACTGGAATGACGACTTAGGGCTTGTTTGGGAAGAGCGTTTTCAATTAGCGTTAGCGTTTTAGACAAAATATTAATAGTGTAGATTAATTCGGAAAATGCTAACACTAAAGGCTACCGTCAGATTGTTTTTTTCAAAACGCTAACACTAATCTCTAATGCTGATGCCAAACGGGGCCTTAGCATATCCAAGCAGCTGTCGCTGATCAGACCTTCATTCTTCAATTGCCGATCGGACTTCCAAACAATCTCCATCTTTATCGTGAATCGCCGATTGGACCTTCGCGCAGCCTAGTAATCGCCGATCGATCGCGCAGCCTGCTTCTCCTTCATGGTTGGCCATTCTTGCAGTGGCATTTGCCCTAATTTTAGTTGCGGGATGTACGGTTCTTCCCTTACATCCGGATGTACTTTATAATTTGCGGAGAGAATATAATTAGTCATACTGCAATCCACACCCCTTTAATCAAGAATCCCAACGCGATATCCCCCAATTCTGCCATGCGCGCAGCATCCAAATTCCTCCAAAATGTCTCCTTCTCCGTTCTCCGTCATAGCCGTCATCACAGTGCCGGCGGGGGCTTTCGTGGCCTGTCCTGCGCGGCGTCTCTACTCTCAAGATCCTCTGCGGCTTCTCCTTCACCCCTATTCCATCCTCGTTGCCAGGTTTACTTCTCCACTTGCCCTGGTTCGGCCAGTACTTTCGTCGAACAGCTCGTGTGCGAGTCCGAGGAACCCTTCGATCACGAGGAGGAGTTGTGTAGAAGCGACCCTTCGTGGGGGAAATTCCATTTTGATAGCTCATTTGAGTCTACTGAGTTGGAGGGGTTCGACTGGCCCGCAGTTGATGCCAAGAAGCTCGAGGACTCCCCCGGACAATGGCATCCTTCAAGATTGAATTGGCTTTGCAAAGAGCTTCATGGAAAAAAGCATGATTCTTTGATTCGGATTCTGGATGCCCAGAGGGGGTGGCTCACTCAAGAATATGCTACTTATGTTGTCCATCGTTTGTTGCAAATTCGGGCAGTTCACACTGCTTTCATGGTAAGAGAGAACCACCTGGTCATCATTATTCAGACATTAACACTTTTATGTTCTTTTTTTGTATGGTTAGCAATCTGTCTGCTGCATTTAAGCATGAAAATTAGGAATTTATGATGGACCGGTACATGAAGATCTTCGGAACTACTATGGAATAAAGATCTAACATCTACTCTGTACTTTTTTACAATAAAAAAGCACTATGAGGCAAAGGAAGGTACACATATAGAAAATGGAATGCAATTTAGCAAAGGCCAATTGAATCATACTGACGTAGAGATTTTAATCAGAAGTGTATAAACATACTGAAAGTTCTCAATTAAAGATACTTGTTCCCCGAGACTCGTTCCTGCAATTTGTGCCTCCCAACGACCATGGTGATGGCGCCTGTGAAAATTAGAGGGTTCAACTCAAGCTGGCCTGTTAACAGTTTCAGGAGAAAAAAAATCCTAACGATGTTGAAGACAAAATCTTAACATTTTCCATTCACTAACTATTTCTTTTCATAGTTGAAGTTATATCTAGAAGCAATACCTAGTAACTTGATCATCATGCTGTGGAAATGTTTTATTTTGTTTGCTGTTCAGATTACCTTTTAATAGATCATCAGTATTAGTAAAAGTAAGCTGCTTGGCTTCATCAGTGATCAACCAAAATGTTGAATTCCTTATTCTTGTTGCGTGCATATATTAGGTATACAAATGGATGATGATGCAAAGTTGGTATCAATTTGATTTCAATCTAGCTACAAGGGTAGCAGATTGTTTGGGTAAGGAGTGCCAGTTTCGGAAGTGCCGAGAGGTTTATGATGACATACTTACTCAAGGACGAGTGCCCGATGAGTCAACTTTCCATATTTTAACTGCCCTATATCTTAGTTCATCCTGTGAATATCTGGAGGAACCATTTGACATTTACAGATGCATGATCCAATTGGGAGGTTATAAGCCACATCTTAGCCTGCACAACTCTTTGTTTGAAGCGCTAGTGGAGACAAAAGGACATTTTTGTGCAGAAAACCTGGAGCGGGCAGAGTTTGTTTACAAAAACATGCAAGCCTTTGGGCTTCAAATACACAAGGATATCTTTGGTGGCCTCATATGGCTTCACAGTTATCAAGATTCGATAGACAAGGATAGGATTGCATCACTGAGAGAAGAAATGTGTTCGAGAGGCATCGAAGAGGGCACAGATGTACTTGAGTCAGTCTTGAGAGCTTGCTCCAAGAATGGAGATGTGGATGAAGCCGAAAAAACTTGGACGAAACTTCTTTCTTTTAGTAATTCCAGCCCTTCACCACAAGCTTGTTTGTATAGGATGTTGACTTATGCAAACATTGGAGAGCATATGAAAGCATTGGAAATATTGAGGGGAATGCAAGAGGACATATGTTCCATTCGCACCATAGCGTACCGTAAAATCATAGAGATATTGTCAAAAGCTCAAAAGCAAGAACTGGCGGAATCAGTCATGAAAGACTTCATCAACCGCGGTTTGGGGCCACTGATGCCTTCATTCATACATATGATGGCGATGTATCTCGTTTCAGGCTCACACGAGAAGCTGGAGTCAACTTTTTTTCAGAGTCTCAAACAATGCCGTACTAATCAGACCGTCTTCAGCCTGTACTTGCAGTCGTTGGTCGAGAAAGGAGACATTAAAAAAGCTGGAAAAATCTTTGATGAGATGGCTGAGAACCCTTTGATTGGTGTCAATGCTCGCTGCTGTAACAACATTCTGAGGGGTTACCTTTCCCATGGGGAGCACAAAAAAGCTGAAAAAGTGATTGAGATGATGCGACTGAAGAAATTCAATACCGACTCGTTTTGACAGAAAAGCTAAGTTTTGTGGAAACTGGTTGAGCCCTTCATTCTTGATGATCTTAAAGATTGTCTGAGAGCAGGAGGAGTTCAATCCATTGCCAGTTCATCTGAATCTGATGAGTAAAAGCCTTCTGGAAATTTGCAGCTCAAGAAGAGCTTAGGTCTGTTATATTGTGCTTATATGAGCAGAATTTTAGTAGTTTTTGAATTATTTCGCTGAATTCGCGATATTCTTCTATACATCAGTTCTTTCGACAAGTATATATCTCTCATTTGAGTTGCGTACTTGTGGAACACATAATAAGAATAGAAGTTGGTCATATATATCATTCTCCTAAAATCTTTATCTTTACTATACATAAAGCAAATTGGAAAAAAACTTCCCGCCTAAATAGATGCACCGCTATGCCATAGGTGCATCGCAGGCAATCACTCAGTTGAAATAACACTAAACCCATTTTGGAACTCAACATCTATACCCGGTAAGCTTCATGGAAGTACTATGTAAGCTTTTAACCGTATAATTTCATTCTGAAGCTCTCTCATAAGCGAATTTGAAGAAGGAAGCAGATAAAGAGAAAAAGTGATGGAGAGAAGTTTAAGATGGTACATCTTATCTTATTTTTAATGCTCCCTCTATCCCTGAAATTATATACAACACCAACAACAACCCGTTTTATCCCACGAGAGTAGGGTCTTGAGAGGGTGTGTATACGCAGACCTAAAGTTATATTGTTACTAAGAATAGTGTATCTCAATAAAGTTAACGAAAGTCGTAAACCCCAAATATTAAACAAATTGAACCTTATTCGCCCTTTCTATTGTGATAATCTTCTACCTTTTTTTGCAGTTGCATTTTGAGATTCTTTGAATTCATGCCTTATTTACAGTTACACTCGGTTTCTGGTGTAGTAGGTTACACATTTAGAAGAATGTATACCGTACACCTGACTGTACGTAGAGTTAGATACACTTGGTGAATATATATTTTGAATCAATAAAATGTTTATTTTGAATAAACAAAGTGTTCATTTTCCTCAACTCTAGTGTTCATTCTGAAACCGGTTCAATATAGTATTCATTTTGAAATAATATGCAGTGTTTATTCTAAAATAACATAATGTTTTTTTTGAGACATTTTTTTTAAATTACAAAGTATTACAAAGTACTTGATTTTTATGATAAACAATAATAAAATTTAAAAATAATTAAAACTATTGTGCTATGAAAACAATTTAATACTCCATACAATTGTTAGCTAAATTATAACAAGAGAATGCAAAATGTCTTGTCATACCAGTATTCAAATGCTAAAATTGATTTTAGTAAGCCATGTTTAACAAGTATGATTGGAGACGTTCTTAGACATTTGTTTGTTAAATTAAGTACTCCGATAGTATACTTTGAAAAAACAATCATACTAGGTGTACCCAAATATAGTACTCCGTACTTCGTAATTCAAAGGTTCACACTTACATTTTGATGACCTTCATTGATACTCCCTCTGTTCCATATATATTTCTTCGCGTTGCACAAAACAGAGAAAAATGCTAAATTTTTCCAATTTATTTTATTAAAATATGGGTATAGAAATAAAAAATATAACTTACATATTTAAAACTATATAAAAAATTCAACAAAACAACTCGTGACAAGGATATTTTATTTTATTTTATAGGTCATGAAAAAATACAAATAACTAAAAGTTGCCATGAAGTTAGAATAATGCTCTGCGAACAAAGATATGAGACGAAAAGAGTATATATATGTATGTGCAATTGCAAAATGTCTGTAAATATTTAGGAAAAATTATCCAAAATAATTCCAACTTTACAGCGTCTTTCAAAAATAATCACATCTTTCAGTGTGATGCATCATAATCCGAAATTTACTAAAATTTGCGAGTTTGGGGTCGCCGTTAAGTTTTTAACGTCAGGTTAACGGAAATGCCTGTTTTGCGCAAGAAAATGAAAGTTGAGATTATTTTTGATGAGTTTTCATTTTTTTTTGAATTTTTCATTTAAATTCTTAAAATCACTTTCTACCTCCATCATTTCTCTTTCTTTTTTTAAATATTAGTCTTAGTTTAAAAAATAAAAATAATAGATATAAATATATAAAAAATGAGAAATGTAACTAAAATGATACAAAAATAATAAAATAAATAAGGTAATCAATAGAAACTAACTTGAAATAGGTAATAAATAAATAAAAATATACAGAGTGGTGGATTTTAATATTTTACGCACTATACAAAGTATTAATGCATAGATAATTTTTTAGAAAAAATTATCTAGAATAATTCCAACTTTACCGGACAAGTTGTTCTTTTAAAAATAAATAGTACATTAAGACTCTGTATAATGTGTAAAATGTTAAACTCACCACTCTGTATATATTTATTTTATTTTTTACCCATTTCAGTTTAATTTTTATTGATTACATTATTCATTTCATTAATTTTGTATGGTTTTAATTGTTTTTCTCATTTTCATTGTTTTTTATATCTGTTTTTTTGTTTTTTCTAAGATAAGAATAATCTTTAAAAAAAGAAAAAGAAATGGAGGTAGAAAGTAATTTCTAAAATTTAAATGAAAATTTTAAAAAAAAATTAAAAAACAAAAATTTATAAAAAATAATTTCAACTTTCATTTTTGTTGCGCAAAACAGACATTTTCGTTAACCCTCCGCTAGAAACTTAACGTCCCAAAACTTGTAAATTTCAATAAAGTTTAGATTATTATAGTGAAAGATGAGATTATCTCTGAAAAACTAGGTAAAGTTGAGATTATTTTAAATCCTTTTTTCTAATATTTAAAGTTAACGCCGGAGTACAAAATTTTGGGTACAAGTATATTTATTCTTTTTGAGTAATGCTAGAGTCACAAACAAACAATTCACAAAATTTACAAATTTGTCTTTTTAACATTTTCGTAGAAATTAAATGCACCCAAATAATAAAAGATAATTTAATTCAAAAGATACTAAAGGCAAATTTGTAAGGTTTGTGAACTAACATTTTCGATTCTTTTTTATTCTGGTTTAGGGGCATGTTTGGGAATAGAGATTAGCTGGATTTTTCCCCTCTCTTTCTGCTCTGTATATCCTTTTGGGAGGCATCCAGGCCAGGAGCTGGTAGTCGATCTCCATCTGCCTCTCGCCCCATCTCTATCTGCTGTTTCTACTGCCGCGGCTTCTGGCTCGCCGTCGCCGCCTCGCCGCTACCTGATAACAGCGGCGCTCTCCTTCCACGCTTCCATCTCGTTCCTCCGGCCAGGTAATTTCAATTTTCAAATCCTAATAGGGTATTCTCAAACCATATTGAATAATATCAAAGATTCATTTCTTTTTTTGTAATTTCAAACCATTAAATATCCAATTAGTGTGAAGTGTATCAGGAAAAGGGATGAACCCCATCCTACCTGACACTAATTAAGGATTCAAATTGAGTTTTAGTCTTACCCTATAATCATGGGTGGCCCGGAAGTGGCCAACAGCACAGAGCCCCTTAAATTCATCATAGCCCCTTAAATTCATCATTAGTTTTAAAGCTTAAGCATTCTAAAATAGTAAAATAGGGCCGAAAATGTAAATTTCGGACCGAGCCAATTTCATTTTTTCATTTTTCGAGGCCAGCCTTGCCGATAATACCCCTTTTGCTTCCCTACTTACCAACTAAGCTATACTCCCGGGCTTCTGTTTAAGAAAAACATTCTATCAAGAAACAACATTTTCTAATCATGGATTATAGGAGTTAGCATTGTTTATTATAATCCTGGATCCGCCTCTAGTCACACGTGTTATTTTACAGGGTTAATGGCTGAATTGACTGCACAAGCGCAGCCTATTTACAGTTGAGTCCTTAATACTTTATTTTCTTTCTCTCTCCGTTATTTACTTCATTTGTTCTCTCCAAATTGCGTGTGATGAAAAAAATATGTTGCGCTTTCTCATTGTGGGTTATTTCGTTGCACCTTATTAAAGCATGCTTGCTCTTATGTTGATGATATATTTTTACTTAAGGTGTTTTTGGCATTAATTAACTGGTTGTGTGTTATACGAATAATGAGAATTGGATGCACTGCGGAGGAAGATAACCAAAATTGTATGAATTGAAAATGAAGAGAAAGAACCAGGATGGCAATAGACCACGCCTTTCTGCAAGAATTTTTCCTAACTTCATTCTCCATGATGTTAGGATCTGCAGAATGATTTGCTTAATAGTGTAGTCAAATCAATGTATTTTAAACTTTCTCCTGCATTTCGCTCAACAGGTGCTGAGACATATCAAAATGGTATTTCAAAAGTTTTGAAAAATATACTCCGTATATATTATGAAATGCGAGAAAATTTTCGAACTTAAAAATATGGATTGCATGGGTCACTACCTTTAGTCACATCATTGCAGTGATTTTAATTGCTATGTGTTACGACTATGATGTATTCCCTCCCAAAAAAAGCCGTGTTTCATGCCATCTTATTTTTTTAAAAGAGGACTTTAGTTTGATTAAATGAAGTTATTTTTTCAGATAATATGTCAAAAAACTGGCAAAAAGCCAAAGAGAGACTGCATGCAAGTTAGATACTCTCACTGTCCCATAAAAGGTTCTATATGCTAAATTGGCTAAATTAAGGTTCCAGTTTCCTCTTAATGAAAAATTTGATTGTGCAAAACTGCAAGTTATTTCTCTCCTATGCATAAGCTTCAACCATACAAATTTAGATTTCTTGATAACTGTTTTGATTTCAATGGAGAACTTAACTTTTGAAAGGAGAGAGTGAGGATTTTAGTTAAACCAACACATAATGACATTCTTTTATTCCAAACGTGTTATGCATTGTTTTGGGACTGAGAATGGAGCTTTCGCGGTCTCGTTGTATATGTCGCTCTTGCTAGTAATGCCTAGTTTTCTTAGACTTCACTTTGGCACAATACAATTTTCTTGTATTACTCTGAAGTCAAAAGTAGTCACTAATCACTATATCTTTAGCAATATACTGGGTTTCATTTTAATTTGTATACAGATTGTTGAAATGTTCAGTATTACAATTCAGGTGCATCACAAAATAAAGATGGTACCAGAACCAAGCCCGACCAAGACATTGCACATAATCAAACTTTGGAGGCACATCCTGAAGATACCGGTATAAAAATACACTTGCTCATGGTTTTCATCGTTTTTTGCATTCTCGTACTATGTTTTTGCTTTCTATTCCTGGCACAAATAAAGTTTTCACTTTTTTCCTGTCCTTTTTTGTTTGTGGAGGGTTGGCTGTGATCTAATGTTAATAGTCAATGTGGTAATTGGTTCCAGAGCAGAAGGCTAGGGTAGATGCTGTTTGGCAGCAGATGAACAAAGGATTCCCTACGAAAACTCTTAATTCCATATTACAGAAGCATAGCTCACCAGTCAAATCAAGTACTATTAAAAGTTCAAAGACATCTGCGGTGTGTACTAGTGCATCTATGTTGTTTTTATAAAGTCTTTTTTAGCATGAGTGACTTTTGATGTTTAATGCGTCTCTCTAGAATTGGATGACAGTACTGGGTTTAGCACCAAAAAAAGCATCATCCTCTGTCCAAAATGCAACCGAGAAGCAGCCAACCAAGACAATGCAGTTGGACACAAGTGAAGATGCAAAGAAATTGGCTGCTGCTGCTCTTTCTGCTGCAAAGGATGCTATTTCAGCAGCTGCATCTTCCAACAGGGGAAAAATTGAGGTGAATTTACTGTTTTCGTTTTGCTCTTGAAGAATTCATCTCACATATCAAAGGACTATCGCGTAATCTCGTATATTGAGGGATTACTGCTTTACCATTTGCCCAAACCATTACAAAGTAGTGGTTTTGGCCGGAAGGCTCAAAGCACTTTTTTGGGACTCACCTGTTGATCAAAAGTGTTTATTTTTGCCCCTGTACAAGCATTTTTTTCAAGCTTGAAGCAAACCCAAACACACAACAAAACTACACCAAAGATTCTTCTTCTTCTTCTTCTTCATAAAACTGCTATCTTGCAACTCTAGTGGAACTCAAGTAGAGAGATTAGTTTGCCCCTTTTCTTGTACATTTCATAAAGATGTTTTTACTTGAAAGGTTTCCGAAGTTCGGGACTTTGCCGGGGAAGAAATTGAAGTAAAGAAGTATGTTGACGCGAGCTCAAAAGATGCATCAGACAAAGGGAAAGCTCCGGCGGGGCCTGTTTCTGCTGTTGACGCCATTCTTGAACAAATGAAGAAGAAACAGAAACTTAGCGTGCTAGATAAGACAAAGAAGGACTGGGTAGAATACAAGGGAGAAAACAAAGGCGTCGAAGAAGAACTGGATGCATACAAAAAGAGTTCCAATCAGTATCTAGACAAGGTCTCTTTCCTGCAGCGTGCAGATTACAGAGAGTTTGAACGGGAGAGAGATGTACGGCTTGCTATTCAGGCCAAGAGGAAACCCGATATGCGGGAAGATTTCTGAAGAAGAAGAAGTGGGTGAAATTCATTGGTTCATTGTCTCAAATCTTAATCTGAGCAGTTCATTCAGATTTGAAGACATCTGCTTATTGGCACCTTCCAAAAGATGGAGAGGCTTAGAAAGGAAAGAAGATATTGTAAGAAGAAGAGTGGAGGAATTATTCAATTATGTGTATTTGTTCCATGTACCAGTTCGTAAGTGGTGGGTCACTCTGGATTCACTTTTTTACCCTTGCTCAGAATCAATAAAGTTTGTTTGCCCCATTATTCTGTGTTGTTTTCTCCCTAATGCCCTGTTTGGCAGTACTTCACATTCAATTTGAGACTTTGAAAACGAGATGTTATCTGTTTGTGTTTAGATTCTTGATTGAATAGATCATGAAAAATAAGCTTTTTGTTAAGTGGACTTAAAAAAGTTACCCAAAAATCATATTTGCCAAACGCTCCATCATGTCGTTTGTTGGTCCAACCGAACATCCAAAAATTACCTGTATGTTTGGATGGGAATATCTGCAAGCCTGCCATAATCGAAAAGACAAAAGTGCAAATTTTTCGAAACTTGCACGGTTTACCTCTAAATATTAAAAAAACACCAAATATCCCCAAATATTAAAAAGTGCACAAAATGCTCCTGAACTTTTTGGAAATTGCACGGTTTACCCTTAAACATTTAAATAAAAATGATAATTTTGGAGAAAGGTACTTTGCAGAATTTGCAAGGGTCAGAATCATACTTGCAATTCCCGTGCGTGGGAGCGACGCACTCCCTATCTAGCATTTTAGGACCAAGGGTGTAATGTTTTAAATTGTTCATGGATGTTTGGTGTACTTTTTAATGTTTAAGGGTAAATTATGCAATTTTTGAAGAGTTTGAGGGTAATTAGAGCACTTTTTAATGTTCGAAGGTAAATCATGCAATTTCCAAAAAGTCCGAGGGTAAACAATGCACTTTTCTCTAATCCAAAAATACTAGCTCACTAATTTTCCCCAATAAGAATATATGGCTTACACTATTTTTGTCATCTCTAAATAAATTTTATCTACATGTTTTTTACTTTTTTAATATTATCTTTTTAAAAACTCTATAAAGTTACTATAACTCTCTTTCTTAGACGAATTGAGTATACTTTTCATGGCTTCTCCCATTCAAAATGTCTTTTAGTGTGCATTTGGTTTGGTGTCTACTTTTGGTTGATTTTGAATCTTATAATCAATTAGATATGTTTAATTAGAACAACCCAATTGAATCCCACTAGATTAGAATCCCCCGACTCAAATAGCGCAGATAATATAAGAACACAGGAGACAGATAAAGCAGAGAAAGCACAAAACACTATTGATTACTTCTGAAAATTACATTTTGATGGAAAAAATTGTCAGATTAATCCTTGACGGAATCTAAGACAAATACATTGGTCCCAAAATACATCAAAGGCAAGTATCATGCAACATCTTCTCCACAACATCAAGTCCATACACTTCCAGAACACTTAATGTACAATATAACTTCGCTCTCTAACGATTATGAATGTTCCGCTTCACATACCTCGCCCATTTTGGTTCTGAAGAACAAAACTTTGAGCATGTTTGCATTCCCAGAACTGAAATCACCATGTTCGACTCATGTGACAATTGGCTTCCTTGTTCTGAGCCAAGACCTTAGCCCTTTGGGAAGCAGAAGCTTAATTGTACTATGCTTCTGCTGGTTCCACCCTCTGGGTATGTTGGGTGCTTTGTTCCCAAACCCATCTGGATATTTAAAGTGACTGACTGAAAAAAAAATCTACCGAATTTCAATACCTTCTCTGATGGACTCCGATTCCGTTGTTTCAGCTTGTTGTTCAACAGGCATGGCTGACTTTGTGTTCTCTCATTCACGAGGGATGTCACCAGTTTCTTCAAGTGATGCACAGACAAACTCTTCAGAATTGGTTCTTTCACACTATGTTTGGTTCAAGGATTTTGAAAGGGAAAAGAAAAAGAAAAAGAGAGGGAAAATAAATTTTCATGTTTCGTTAGAGAGGAAAAAGAAAAGAAAAGTAAAAGGAAAAAAATGAGAAGACAGAATGTATTAAGAGGAGAGAAAACCACATTTCTCCCATTTTGGTGAGGAAAATGAGAGAAAACCATTTTCTTTTCTTTTCCTTTTGAATTCCTTGAACCAAACATGATGTCCTCTTTCAAACACAAGTGCATCCTCATCCACACCGAGTACAGAGCCGATATTCTCTAGAGCTCCGGGATCTGAGTCAAACAAAAGATGCATGTGAACGACAATTAATAACGGAGTAGAAGAGACACTTAGTGTGTGTGTGTGTGTGCTCCTAAACTATATTATTCATGTGACAGAGTTAGCTAAATACAATGACTTAAGCCATAACTTGAGAACAAATGCCTTAAACTATAAAGTAAGCTATGGCCGAAGGTATTCTAGATGGCCTTTTTTTTTCTAAAAGCAAAACTACTTTCCACACTCCAACTCAAGTCAGAATGCACAAATTATATGCCACAAGCTTGTTACAAATATATTTTGTTCTAGGACCAATACGAGATTTTGTCAAGATGTAGGAAAATTGAGTATTTGTGCAGAGATAGCTAGTGAATAGTGCCAATGTGTCTAGGATGCAATTTTTTCTCAAAGTGACTAAACATCAATATGTAATCCATATTTACTTTTTTTGGAATCGCCTATGATGTGCACAAAATAGACAACAACAACAAAAACAAACGTATTATAACCTTAAAACCCAACTCGGTTAGGGTCTGAGAACTGTAAACTCCGTGAAGTCGTATGGACAACTGACAACAACAAAAAACCAAGTATAACCCCTATCATTCATGCACTTTTCTCAAATTCCGTGAAGTCAAACTGTAAACTATAATTTGAAACGGAGGGTATATATATGATATTTTGATGTCTGTGATCCTTTAAGAAAGTCATATGCAATATGCAGAAGTGTCCCTGAAAGTTAAAAGCTTGTTAATTTTAGTTCTCTAAGCACCAAATTTAGTGCTAAATTTGGTTCCTTGCCAGGACTTTAGTCTTTAGGTCATGCTCTCTTCAACTTATTTTTTCTAATTATTACTTATTGGAATCGGATCATACTAGATTAGCAACAACTTTAAATTACACTACAATCAGATCAGGTCAAACCTTAAAGAATTCATATCAGAACAAATCAGGCGAAGATAACTGTAAGAAGTGGCATATTTAATATTTTCAAACTCAGGTACCAATTCTTGTACCGTCGTTAATAGAAGGCTAAAAGTGAAAGCGAAGTGTAGTTGGAATTAACTCTTTTCTAACAACAACAACCCAGTTGAATCCCACTACAGTAGGGTCTAGGGAGGGTGTGTGTACGCAGACCTTGCCCCTACTCGAAAGTAGGGAGGCTGTTTCCAAGAGACCCCCGGCTCAACCAAGAGACGAAACAGTTAGCACCCAAACCTAGGATTCATTTTTTTCTAACTGAGTGAGAATTGGGAAAATCTGGTTCAGATTCTTTCAGCTAGCACCCAAACCTAGGATTCATCAAGCCCATGTTTATATTTATAGTCAAACCTAAAATTTGACTGAATTGGTGGATATGACCAGATTCAGTATATTTTGAAGTGAAGGACCAAGAGTGAAAAAATGTAATAGTCCAGTGACTAAAACTAGAACTAAACCATTCATAAAGAGAGAAAAAATAGATATAATAACACAAAAAACATCATCATCAACGAAGTGTTTGTCTTCCGTACCATTGGGAGCTATTAATAAGAGAGTTTATCAGCACTGGTAGAAGTAACATGATGTTGGAGATACGTTTAAGGATAATACCCCTCCATCTGCACCTCCCTAAGAAGATTATCCAAAATGAAGTATATATGAGCGGATTTTTGGTGACATTTATCTGCAGCAACGAATATATGAGTGGTGTTGTTAACTTCAATCCAGCTATAACCGGGTATTTTCTGGACTCCTCTCTCCTTCATCAAATTTCTTGTTCTCGATGCTCTCTCCCAATCTCCAGTGCCAGCCTGTAGATTCGATAGTAAAACATAGTAGCCAGAATTTTGTGGATCCAGGTTAAATAGATACTTTGAAGCCATTTCTGCTAGCTCAACATGGCCATGGACTCGGCAGGCACCAAGCAATGCACCCCAGATGCTGGCATCTGGGGGAATTGGCATGTTTTTTATGAGTTTGAATGTTTCCTCTAAACAACCAGCCCTACCATACAAATCGATCATGCATGCATAATGCTCCACTCTGGGTATGATGCCGTATTCTGGGATCATGGAATTGAAATAGCACTTCCCTAGTTCAACCCGACCAGCATGACCACAAGCAGATATGATAGCAAGGAAAGTGACATGGTCAGGCCGGAACCCGTCTTCTTCCATCCCAACAAACAAATCTAGAGATTCATCTAATAGACCATGGTTTCCATAAGCAGAAATGATACTATTCCATGAAACTTCATTTTTCTTCTTCATGAAATTGAACACAGTGCGTGCTTTATGCAAGCATCCGCATTTGGCATACATGTCTATCAGTGCACTTTCAGCAAAAAGGTCATTATAAAATGAACCTTTGATCATGAAGCCATGAATCTCTCTTCCATGATGGAGGGCTGCTATGTCTGCACATGCAGAAAGAGCACCTGATATGCTGACACAGTCATACTTAGATACTTCTGCACCCATCTTGCGGAAAACATCAATGGCTTGTTCGGGTTCTCCATTCTTGCAACATCCGGTGATCAAGGAATTCCAACAAACCATGTCTTTTTTTGACAACAATGAGAACACTCGATGAGAAAGGTCTAACCTTCCACATTTTGCATACATGTCTGTCAAGGCACTACCCACGAAGCACTTTCCTACATACCCATGTTTAAAGGTGGTAGCGTGCAACTCCTTACCAAGTTTCAGGGCAGCCAATTCAGTGCAAGCTGGCAACACACTTGCGAGAGTAAGTGCATTTGGCCTCATTCGCTTACGCAACATCCATCTAAACACGTCTAGGGCATCAAGATTCAACCTATTCACAGCGAATCCTGAAATCATAGACGTGCAAATTGCAATATCGACAAGCATGTTATCCTCAAAAACATTGCGGGCCATTTCAACACTCCTACACTTAAAATACATATCAATGAGTGCATTTTTCAAAAACACATCGAAGGAGACATTGTGCCTCAAAATGTATCCATGAATAGAACTACCTAGACACAGATTTCCAGATTCAGAAATTGAGGGTAGCAAACTTGCAAAGGTGATGCCATCTGGTTTAACACCTATAGCTATCATTTCACTAAACAGATTCCATGCCTCATCCATAAACCCATTTTGGACATATCCACCAATCATTATATTCCATGGAACCAAATTACTTTTTCCAATTGTATCGAACAACTTCTTGCCGTCAAACAAGCAAAAGCATTTCATATACATCGTTATCAATGTGTTGGCCACATGAGCATCTACTTCCAATCCACACTTTACAACAAGACTGTGAAGTTGAGTCCCAAACTCAACCATTCCTTCAGAAGCACAAAGCGAAAGGACGCACGCATATGTCACAGAATTTGGCTTAGTATCAGTCCATCTCATCTGCATGAACAATCCAACCACACTATCCATAGATTCTTCATAACTTAAATAACCATTGAGCATCACATTCCACAAAACACTATCCCTCACAGGCAATTTGTTGAACAAACGCCGTGCATCGTTCATGCAACGATTTTCAGCATAAAGCTTAATCAAAGCACTCCCAACAAATATATCTAACTCATAACCCAAACTAAAAATCCATTGATGTATTGATTTTGCCAACATGACTGCATGCAAACCCGCACAGGCCTTAATCACATAAGGAAAAGTGTACTTATCAGGCCAAGTACCAAAACCCAGCATCTTGAAGTAAACCATAAGTGCATAATTGAAATAACCCATCACAGTTAACCCTCTGATCATCCAATTCCAAGGAGATGCATAGTATAGATTAAGCTGCCAAAACAATTTCTTTGCATAAAAAAATCTGTTACAGAGAACATACATCCCCAGGACTCGGGACCCTAGAACACCCATGTTTTTCATTCCATTTACAATTATTTGGGCATGAATTTGATAGCCTTTTTGAAGAACTGGGGAAGAACTGTCTGAAAGAGAAGTGCACTGTAATAAGATTGGTGCAAGTTTGGATGCTAAAACCTCCTCAACACCGGAATGGGAATAATGGGTTGAGGCCAATGTAGAAGCAGAAACAGTAAGGGAAGAGAGAGTTCTGGAGGTTGAGCGAAGAAGATGCTTTTGAAACATTTAGCATTGGATGATAAAAACTTTGGGTGTTGCAGGCAGCAATCCAACTCCAAATAAGCAGCCAAAACTTATCAGTGTTCCGATGCCCCGATAATTGAAAGCAACCGGATCATATTCTCCACCCACAGCCTCTGCAACATAATTTGCTTCGTCAACCAGAGATTATTAAACTACTTGAGCACCATGACATCTTCACTTTATGAGAAGAATCCATTAAACCAAGTAAAAATCTTAACATTGCATGATAGGCACCTATCAATCACCACAATTTCGATGCCAATATAAACTTTCTGAACATGCAATTCAACCCAGTTACACTTTTCATAGAAGTGTAAACACAATATAATTAATCTGTTAAAGAGTAAACATTGTTTTAGTTTCGGGCACATAATGGACTAAACCAAAATGACACATTAAGATTGTGTACATATTGATCTTGCCCCCAGTTCCTAACTCCGTTGGGATTATATGGGGTTGTTGTTAGAGAGGCATATAATCCTTGTTTCTCTTCTAATTAAAGCTCATGGGGTCCCATTCATGAAAATTTGTATCCACATGCCACATGTCAAGCATTAAGTAAATGAGTAATCCATAAAATTAAAGGTTATATTTAACATGAAAATTCTGAAATAAAGTGAAAATCAATAATAGTCTTATATTGCACATATTAAATGAATCTTATACGTTACAATTGGTAGCATCTACTTTTCATACCTTGGTGTATCATTCAAGACAATGGAGAAATAAAGGATGGTGTTCAAAATGGCGGGGTGCTTTGGGCTTTATATGCGACAAAAAATACCTTTAAAACTAAAGGAAAAATTTTACTCTACTCCTGTTAGATCAACTATATTGTGTGGAACAGAGTGTTGGGTACCAAAGGGTGAACATGATCACAGGGTTAGTATGATGGAAATGAAGATTCTCTGTTGGATGAGTGGTTATACGTGTATGGATACAATAAGGAATGAAGATGTGAGAGCTAAAGTTGGAGTGACACCTATTGTAGAAAAGATGGTGGAAACACATCTTAGGTGGTTTGGACATATAGAGAGAAGATAAATACAGCATCATGTGAGAAGGGTTGACCAAATGGTGAATAGGCATGTGGCTAGAGGAAGGGGTAGACCTAAGAAGACTTGACAAGTAGTTATCAAGGGAGACCTTCACGTGAATGATCTCACAGCAGATATGATACATGATACCCGACCCCACCTAGTGGGGTAAGGCTTTATTGTTGTTATTTGTTGTTGGATTATCATAACATCATCGCTAATGGCAGAAAAAATCTTCTCTCTCTATGTATCTCACTAGACAATCATTTAACCACTGATCACAAATTTTGTGTCGACCCTCATTCATTTCAGTTTTTACACCATCCGTCATTGAAAGGGATTCATGTTCACCCGTATTTTGTTCAAACTTCTAAGAGTTGATTTAAAGATAACAACGTACCCGAGTTCAAATTAGGGGTCCGTTTGGAAGGCAGGAAAATGACTTCTGGAAATCATTTTTTACATTTCTCGTGTTTGGTTACTTAGGAAAATCCAAGTCAATGGAAAATGAGCCCTCGGTCAATGGAAAATCCCTACCAAATTCCGTAAATTGACTTCCGCTTCTCAAATCCGGAAGTCATTTTCCTTCGGTGCAGCGCCTCATCTTTGCCCATCTCCTTCAGCCCCGTTGGTTGCCTCATCCTCGCACATCTTCAATTTTCTTCCTCGCTCATCTCCGGCTTTCTTCCTCGTTCTTTCTTTCTTCCCGCAACCCTAACTCCCAATTGAATCGCAGTAGGGAAACTTAGGAACCAGGGCAACCCTAATAAAATGCCATCATCTGTCTGTCCAGCTTTGAACCCCAAGCCGACGCCATCCAGTGATATGATGCCCACCATATATATACGGGCCAACACACATCCGTCCGTCTAGCAAATCAATTTTTTTTTAAAAAAAATTGAACTCCAAATTGAGAATTTCTTTTGATTCATTCAGGGTAGATTTGAGGTAATTCATGTTTTGATTTGATTTTATTCAGCTTTGCATGTTACTCTGTATCTATGATTCACGATGTTCTAATTTTTCTTGGTTAATTTCTGATTTTCCAGAAATGAACCATCCAAATAAAAATTGTCTTTTTCAGACTTTCAACCAAACACCAGAAAAGAAAATGACTTTAGGAAAATAAGTCATTTTCCAATTTCCAGAAGTCGTTTTCCTAAAGTCATTTTCCCGGTTTTCAAACGGACCCTAGATGAATTCTCACTTGATTAAAGCACTTTGAATCTTGATGTATTTTTAAAATATCTTTTACATCTAAATTCAAATGATTAACAAGTTACCTTTAATTAGCAGTTTTCAATTTGTTTAAAAAAGCTAAACCTTCATATAATCATATGGAAATTAACCTAATAACAAATGACAAATTCACACTTCACAAATCCACAACTCACATAACAATACATCATAAATCATCATTGAAATATTAAGAATGGCAAAAAGAAAAAATGATTTTAGAAGGACAAGGATTTACGGCATTTGCCCGGCGGCTAGGTCTCAGTAGTGGTGTCGCGTGGTACACTTGAGGCAGCAGGCAGGGTGTCTGGAAGCTGGAGCAGGGACCTCCTGCCAGTTCTGCGGCGGTGTCAGCACTTAGCGGCGCGGCCGCGCATGCGGTGTTAACTCTAGGTTCCAATGGTGCGGCAGTTGGGTTCTGGTTTAATTTGAGGAGATTCATCAGGCACAGTTTACAAAACAGATGAGTTGAATAAAAATTGTTTTTTGAACTAATCTAATTTGAGCCCTTTGAATATAGGTATATTTAAAATTGTTGTCGAAGCATTGTCGCCGGTATTGAGGACAGTTGACTAATGATTCAACACCACACTACCGCCGCCACATTGCCAACATTCACATTGATATTTTAATCTATTTTAAATTTTAAATGCCCTAGAATAATTGTTTAAAATGTAGAACATGTGAATTCTTATCACAAAATTAAGAGTAGTACCCAAAAGAAATTTTGTTTGTTTTGTACCTTCTTGATCCTTCTCTATAATATTGTCTTAGGTGTGGGATGTGTAGTAGCTAGTTGGCTTTGAATGCTTTCAATTTGGCACATGAAAGACATGTATGCAAGAGTCACTCAGGAGATTCAGTTTGTAAGAAACTTTGACAATGGTTGTAGCAATCCGGAAAAGACCAAAGTATTTAGAAGAAACTTGTTGCTTCTTCTTTGAATACGAGTATATTGTTGTCTATAGGGGTGTAGGTAGATTTAACTAAATTCGCTCTCCACCAGTGATAGATCTCTTAAGTGTTCATCATGTTTTGAGTCTCGCTCAAATTGTCAACACTCTTTCCCAAAAAAATCGGTTTGTCATGCTATGAAGATATATGTGTCTCTCTACTTCTAGCAGTAAATGTCACAAAACCGCTTCTGCCAACTTCATTCCAACATATTTCTGCTCCTCGTTATCGATGATCAACTTGTGGAACATTAAAAATATTAGTGATAATAGGAAACAATATTATATTGTATACCCCAATCCCGAAATAGATTATAATATTTTTCTTTTCTTTCGATAACTTCTGTTTATTTGTGTATTTTCATTGAAAATTTGATGCAATAAACATTTTTGTCACCTCTCAGTTATAGAGATATAATATATATGGAGATATAATATATATGTGTATATATATATATATATATATATATATATATATATATAAAATCTTTTAGTCAATTTGAATGATTAAAATAACCAATATAATACTCCATATTAATTATTTAAAATAACTAATTCATCATAAATATATAATATTTATTTATTTAAAATAGCCACAAAGTGTTAGGGCAATTCGTATAGGAGGTTGCATACATGGAGAACCTTTAAAATTTACCAAAACATAAAAGTTTCTTGAAAGTTGAAACAATGGAGCATGGAGGTATATATATATATATATATAGACACACACACATAGAGGTTGTGAAGCTGTGACGGCTGATAGATTTCGATCGACGTCGTCATTAATTAATTTATTTATTAGCCCATCATATGCCCAGCTGCAATAATTAACAAAGCACCTATCGCGAGAAGGTATGGGGTTGCGATCACTTGCTCGTTTTTCTTCGATTCCTTCTTTGATGACTTTGATAATGATGATGACAACAAGCGGGGGATTGCTACTTCCGGCGGCGGAGGCAGCCCGCCACTCGCCGCCGCCGCCAGCAAAGGGTTCCCTCCGAACGACGAAGGAGGAAACCTTTGGAGCAGAGTCGGAGGGACGGGCCCACTGAACCCGTTGTTGCTTAGATTCAAGCTCTCGAGGCGCGTGAGGAGGTTGAGACCGGGCGGTATGGGCCCGGTCAAGAAGTTATTCTAGAGGTGTAGCGCCTCGAGCGCATCCAGTCGCCCTAACGTCGTGTTCTCCGGGATCGAACCGCAGAGTCCGAGACCGGACAGTCGGAGTCCGACTATCCGGTCTCGGCCGGAGTTGCAGGTCACGCCGGTCCAAGTGCTACAAATTGGGCCGGCGGACTTCCACCCGATTCCATGGGGGATTGCAAAGCTGAGAAGGGCTTGCTTGTCTGTTTCCAGATCTGAAGCTACTACTACTTGGAGGAGAAGTAATAAAGATAGGATAAAAGGAAGAAACATACGGGAAAACATTTTTTGTTTTGTTTTGTTTTGTTTTGGGAAAACCGTACTTATTAATAATGTACGGTTTATTACCTATTATAATTCGGAGTGAACTTAATTTATAGTGGCCTAGTGGGGATGGTCCATTGGTGGGGTAGAAAAAATAGAAATTTACTTAAATAGCACTAAAATATACTACCTCCGTTCTTAAAAACACTTCTTTCATTTTTTTCACTTTCAACAAAACACTTCCCCTTTCTATTAAAAAACCACTTTTACCCTTACTTTTTCATACTCTACCTATCACATCATATTTTTTCTCTAATAATCAATCCATCACATCAGGGGCAAAATTGGAAGTCAACTATAATTTTACACTTCCTTAATTTGCCTTATTTTCAAAGTGGGAAGGGTTTTTTCAAACGGAGGGAGTAATACTTTTTCGTAAATAATATTATATGTGTTTTTTCCCAAAGTAGCACTTTTAATCATTATCCATTAGTCATTATTTAAATAAATGTTTGTCATACATCACTGGACATTATAGATATTATTTAGTGATACTTAGGAAATAAAACAATTTAAATGCTATTTAGGAAAATGAATTAAGTTTTATTATTATTTAATGCAAATATTTCTAGAAAAAAAGGGGGGTCGTATTTCTTGATTTTTTTTATAAATGTCAAACACTCTACTTTTTTTTGTATAGGCATGAATAATTTTCTATAATTCTTTTGACTAATTTCTTTCTTTTTACAACGTACGGTGTTGTAGGTTAGAACAATTTGTTTCCCTTGAGTCACGCAATGAGAACCTCACATTTACAAAAATCATCTAAAACAAGAAAAAAAACATTGTTCATTATCAAAATAGTAGCAATATATTTTTATAACATCCCAACCCACCCACGTAATTGGAATAAATGGATTAACGAACCGGATCCTTACTAAATTGGTATCCAAACAACTCAATTCCAGAACAATTTTAAAACTTTTGATCCAAAACTTAAACATTCATCGGAGTAACTGAAAAACATTGTGGAAGCCTTTAATAAATCTCAACAACCTGGGACTTCAGCCCATAAAAATAATAAGTGCTTAAAACAATACTCCCTTCGTCTCACTGTCTTTGTCCACTTATCTTTTGGCACACCATCCAATGTACTTCTTTAATCAATTTTATCTTGTAATTTGTATATTAAAAAATTATAGAAATTATATATTAATAATCTATATGTTAAGACAAATCAAACAAGATCGCACATCACTATATTTAGACTTACACATTGAGAGAATTTGATGAGTCAAAGTGCTTAGATGAACAGTTCCAAAAGTCAAAAGTGGACAAAGACAGTGGGACGGAGGTAGTAAAAGTAAACAAGTTTTCGACTGCAGCCACGCACATCTCATTGCCCTCGTCGTCCTCAGGGATTGGCTCAAGGTTCACCCTGATCCTGATTACCTACGTGCAGCAAAAGAACAAATGCTACATGCTTATTAATTAGCATTGAAGCTAAGTCAGAAATATCTAATATTCAGTTATACACATAGATGACCTCACTGGTTCATAAAATTACACGATATCATGCAAACAATTTTTTCATGAATATCAACATAACAATTAAATTCATAAACGTTAGGAATAACGATACATGACATTATCCCTTAACCATTTTAGTCATTTAGCTTACATACTTGGCTCATAACGTATTTTAGGTATAAGCTTATACTAACTCTAACTTGCTCATCGGAGTCACGATCTTCCCCTTCGGAACGCAGACCAACTCAACTAACTCGGGAGTTTCTCGTTGGGTGGGTGAGATCCCTGTCCCCTTCGGAACGACAGTTCATAGATCCCAGTGCGCACGTTTGTACCCGAATAACCAATGGATCCAGCAGTTGCCACATGACTCTAACCTTTCTATACCTATGGCATAACTTACGTACCTATATTTTGTTCAGGTCAAATCCTAGAGTTCCTCTAGGTTCATATGTTATTTTAATGTTACATTACATTCAGAAGTTCATATCTCATAAAATAGGCATAATCATATCCAACATGATCAAACATCGGTCTGACGCTGGGTGTGAACACCTATACTTACCGTCATGCATCTTACAAGGTCTCGGAATATATCCTTGACACGAAAAAAGACTTACGAACAAACTCTAGGTACCGAGATAGTACCTGGGTACCGTCCAGGAAGTACATGGGACCGGCTGGGACAGAGTCTGCCAGCACCAGATGGCATGTGACGTTAGCCAGCTACCGTCTTGGCGGTAGAGCCTACCGTCTGTGTGGTACTTAGGTATCGAACAGTCGCAGGTTCCGGTAGTATCAAAAGGCCTTAGGCGCTATTGAGGTACTGGTAAGGGTGGTACCTTGCTACTGTCTGACACAAAGTTTACCTGTTTATGCACCAGGTCGATTTTCAGCATCAACCAACATCCAATTTCGAAGATTTCAGCATAAATACATTCATAAACCAGTTCTTAACTATATCCAATCGTACTATAACCAGATTAACTCATTCATGCATACAATCAACAAATTCCAACAAAACTTCCTAAAATAGATTCTCACATAAATCAACCATAATGATTCTATGAACGTAAGATTCAAACCTATAGGCATAACTAACGTTAGATATCTACATACTCACCTCGAATTCGACGAAGAAACTACGGAGAATGAATTGACCTATAAGCGGTGATGATGGCACGGTAACAACGGGTTTCTCTTCTTTTCCCCCCTTCTTCTTTCTTCTTCTTCTTTCTTTGGTTCTTCCTTGCTGCTTTGTTTCCGGTCGCGAGAAGGGGACAAGAGAGATACGAGAGATAGTGTTACGTAATATGGCGGCAATAGAAAGTTTAGGCGTGTAAGGCTATATTCATAGTTACGTGGTACAGATGACTTTACTCTTAAAACCGAAGCTAATTGAATTGTTTAAATAATTATAATACGATGCAAGTTCATTGAGAATATCGAAACGTCATGAATGGTGTTCACCAAAAACTTAGACAAATCACAAATGTAAACATTTGGGGTGATGTCTAGTGTACATAAAACTTTATTTTACTATGCAAATGCAAAAATTAAAGTGTAATGTTTAAACCAAACATTTTTGAAACATTTTAATGTCATTTCTATAAACATAGCAAGAAAAATTAAATTTTCTTCCTATTTGAACTTTGAACTCCATTTCTATAGCCCGACTCAGACGCGCTAAATTTTGGGTTTGAGTCAACAAGATGGGGCTCTTCCAGTACAGCTTCGCCGGCGGGGGTTTCCTACTGATCGGCGCTTGGGAATCCTACGTAGCAGCCACCGAAGCCTCAAGATCGCCGGCGACGGGAGCTCTTCCTCAACCACCAGAACCGGGGACTAAATCCGCTGGCCTCTCCTCCTCCTCCGCCGTGACATTCCTAGCAGTTTCCGTTCTGTCCTTTCTCTTCATCGTCAACTCCGTAATCTCCATCTCCGAAGCCATCGCCGCCAAGGATCCCACCGGTTTGGCTCTCCAGTTGGAGGTAATCGCGATTTCGCTCCTCTTCTTTCTCTACTCCGTTCTCGGATTCGTTACCTGCACAACGAGGGCTCTTCAATTGCCTCGGCAGATCCTGAATTTGATCTCCCTATTCGCATTCGCGGAAGAATTTCTGTTGTTTTACCTCCAGAGGAAAGACCCTAGCGGGGTGGAGAATCGATACTATAACCTCTTTCTAGTGCCAATTTCAATTTGTGCATTTTCTACCATTCTCGAATTGAAAACCCCCAAATCGAATTACCCCAGACTAGGGCTTGGGGTCGGGCTGATCTTGCAAGGAATCTGGTTTCTGCAAATGGGATTCTCCTTCTTCACCGGGATGATTGCTCATGGATGCTCATTGCACAAGAGAAGTAGAGGGAATTACACGATAAAGTGCGATGGACATCCCGCGTACCATCGGGGTGGGGCCATTGCCACACTTCAGTTCAATTGCCATCTTGCTCTTCTTGTGGTTTTGGTTTCTGGTGTATATTCTGTTGTGTGTAGGATGAATGGAATCGAAGGGGAAGCTTCGAGGTATAGACCACTTGGTGTGGGGGTGCAGCAGCTGGAAATGGGGGGTGGCAGCTCCCATTTTACATTGGATTCTGATGAAGACGATGAAGATGATGGTGGGTTTATTAAGAAAGAAGAGAAGAATTTGGAAATGCAGGAGATGATCCAGGTGACCAATGGTTATCATACTCATGGATGATATGGTGATTATGTTCTTCTTTTCTTCTTCTTTCTTGGTAAGGAAAATAGCATTTCTTTATAGACTGTGATTAGATGAGAAAGAACCAGCTTCTGTATCATAAGAATTAAGAAGAAAATGCAATTACATGTGTTCTTGATGATTCTGGTTTGGAAGAAGATTTTCTGTGGTTGCATGTACTCTTTTACAGATTTGGTTAAACAGCAGGTTTTTGTGTTGTAAAAGATGTACTTACTTCTAGGAGGGTAGTTCATTGCTAGGCCTTCTCCCTCTCCACCATGAATCTCAATTTGTCTTAAATATGAAGGGGAAAATGTTATCATTTCACCCTAATCTGTGAATTTAAGAGGTTTTTTTTTAATTAGACAAGGAGTTGTTTTTGTGCTTGTGTTTCTCTATTGTATGTGTCTTGAGTCGGGTGTTTCTTGGAAACGATGTCTCTACTTTCGGGTGAGGGTAATGTCATACACACACCCTCCCTAGATTTTATGCTAGTAGGATTCAACAGGGTTGCTGCGGTTGTAATAATGCAAAAAAATTAACAACGAAATACTTCGTATATATTTATATATAACCATAAAATTAATTTTTAAATTTTCAAATTTGATTTTTATGATCAATAATGAAAAAATTTGACAATGAAATACTCTGTATGTATTTAATATAACCTCTGAAAATATTGAGTCATACAAAATTGGAAGTCCCATACGAGTGTACATACCCTCCCTCATTGGAAAAAACAAAGGATTTGATCTCACTATAATTGTTTAATAATTTAACTTTAACTATATGTTCATTTCATTCTTTCCTTATTCGAAGTCACTGTATGGAATAAACAAATTGACTCTCTAAACTATCTGTGCTTCTTGCAATTGTAAAGTAGCAGATGGTCAATGCAACTTTTGACGATCTCTATGTTTTAAATATATGGGTCAGACTGCGTACATCCGATCCCCTTACCCCGCAATGGGCGGGAGCCGTTGAGGCACTGGGGTAATGTTGTTTAAGATGGATTCATGCAAATACAAGGCTTCTACACAATGGAGCAGACCAAGGTCAATTAAGGTAGGAATACCAAGTATGGTACTGTCCCAAAATAAATTTCACATTTGATTTTTCACCAAAGATTCCAACAAGCAATGAAAGATGATATCAAGAGACCATCTCTTTAGCTTCCACTTGAAAGGCAACTCAGCCTTGACCATGCTAGGAAGGGCAACTTTGTGATGAGACTTGGACTTTTGAACAAATATGAGATAGTCAGGAGAGAAAACAAGAGAAAAAACTAAGGTATCGTTTCGTAGAACGTAATAACTACGATGCAATCAATACAGAGTATATGATTTGGCTAGATTTGCATTACCTATAAAATTTGGTGTCATTAGTTAACTTCATCAAGTCCTACCTAACTCATAAGAGCCTAATACTACTGCATAAGGAGAAAAAAAAGAGGGTAAAAAGTGCAAATACAAAAGCCAAAGACTGATCCTTGCAGGAAATGAGTTGGAAGAGGAGAGAAAAAAAAGCACCAACTCAGCTTTACCTTCTTCTCACTTCTCAGCACCTTTGTTTATGCCTATTTGCGATTTGACCCCTGGATTTTTCATTTCTTCGTTCCGAGCCCGGCCTATAACACAGTGTATCTCTCTAACATATAAAGAAGAAGAAAACCTTGATAAAAACTTTGTAATCATCACGTTCTACTTCGGACGTAGGTCCAACTTGTAAGACTGTACTTCCATTGGAGATATGAGGACGTGGCCTTCACGGGCCCCATCTGCGAAATGCCCATTATAACCAAGCATCTCAGTATCTTCGTGCAGAAGGTTCAAAGACGTGGGTTTCAAATTCAAAACAGCTAGACCTTTGAATGTGTCAAACAGGTTAACTGGCACCTCGGCAACAGTTGAACAATCAGACCTGCCCCCCTTTCGACAATACGAAGAGTCCCAATGTCGCCGCTGGAGGGTGAGAACAAACTTAGGGTCTTCATTGTTTGGTGGCAAGGGCTGCTGCTGCTGCTGGGGATATTTCAGAGGTCGAGGGACCTTGAAGCTTAGAATGTGTAGGTCACAGGGCAAGTTCGCTGCTAGCGGAGAGAAGGATCTGGGGGGAGGCTGTACAGAGATTTCGCGAGCTTTCTTGGCCACGAATGTGTGGAGGGGGTAGTTTAAGTGGGAATTGATGAGATGGGATAAAAGGGAAGGGCTTAGAGGGTAAGGAGATGTAGTTGCAGCAGTTTTTGAACTGTTAGAAGAAGAAGAAGAAGAAGAAGAAGAAGAAGAAGAAGAAGGCTCCACAAGGATGTGGAAAAGAACATTCATAGGGCGATTGTCCATGACCCCCTGTCCAAGACCGCGCCCATCATCCCTCAGTAATCGCCTATCAAGCATGATCTCTAACCATCCATCTTTAAGACTTGCCACACCCAAAGACTGCCGGGTATGGATGGAGAAGCGCTGTCCATTTGGCCCTTGCATAAAAGCAAGAGATGGTATAGGATAATAGTTTCCTTGAACAGGGATCTTATCATATGTCTCTCGGCGGCTCATCTGGAACCCATTCAAATCAGAATAAAAAACCTTTTGGTTGTCAATATCAGTCTTGTACCTGGCTATCAGCTCTTTGTTGTTAAAATCACTGCCAAGAAGCTCAACGTGGTACTCCTTCTCTATGATGTTTCCCTGTATCGAGGAACTATCACTGCCACCAAAATCATATATGCGGGTGCTATGGGAAAGTGGAGCTTTATCCCATTTTGTCTTTGGGAATGAGTAAGCCTCCTGCACCAAATGTCCTTCCGAGATAACCATTGATCCACCAGCTAGGGAAATGGGCTCAGCATAGCCGTCTGGTTTGAATAGGTAAGCTCCACTCCCAGTGCTGGAGTACATCCCTATTTCCTCGCCGATGATAATGCTTTGGTGGCCATTGGTATAATCCACTCTCTGTAGCACTCCTTCCTTCAAGCTAAATGTAAGCGTCTGATGTCGATTACGGATTTTTGTTTCATCACCTTCCAATCTTGAGCAAGAATATGGCGCAGGGCAAGAAACATTGGAAGAAGGTGTGAGCCATTTTACCTGTGCTGGTATGGCCTTTTCACATCCGGCAAATCCATTGGCGACATAGTAAGTTTGCAACCCTAATGGGGGAACCGAAGCCTTCCAATACACACGGTGTCTGCCAGAGAGTAATGTCTCATCCTCCTTGTTGTAGGTCTGTTGTATCTCGGGAGATATTTGGCTTCTCACGCATGTCCAATTTGAGTCCAAGATCGTCACATCTGGCCTCTCAACAATGACCATTACGACCTCATTTCTTGTCTGCTCTAGTGGATTGAAGATCACCACAGACTGCACAGTTCCCTCACGAGCAGCCATGGCTTTATGCACCGGCTGTGCATCGTATTGCGATCTCACTTGTGCGGGCTCAAACTGAGATGGGTTGTGGTCGTTTTTCTCATGGTGAATCCCGAGCAACACCTCAATGGCCTTTGACATGAAAATCTGAAGATCATGCAAAGCCATGTGCATTCTCATCCCATAATCATTAACCACATGATCCTTGGCTGTACCAGTTACCCCATCATGATGTTGGAACAGTGCTAGATTCCTCCTAGCGGCTGTCAACTTATAGGAAAATCCGGTGGGTAATTTCTCGCATTGTGCTCTCTGACAGTATCCAAGTAGGAAAGCCATCATCATTTCAGCACCGCGAAGGGTTTGCTCCAACACACGGTCAACAGCCTTGAAGAACGGACGGGATACATAATAACCACTCCAGTAATCTTGCTCTCTGTCAGCATAAGTAAAAAAATCGCCTGAGAGAGAAGGGAACCCACCAATCTCACCAGACCCAACTTCATTTGGACGAGAATAATTCACCCTATCAGCCTCTTCACGCAGAGTTCTGTAAAAATCTTCTAATGTACCAAAGTTGGCTTCTGCATTCAAGCCTGGATCAGAATTGATATAATCAAACAAAAGTTGGTAGTTCTTGAACTGAGCTTCAGCCTCATCAACGCTAACATAGCGGAAATCATCTCCTAGTGGAATCAGAAGAGTATTTGTACGATATAGTGTTGACTTCTTTCTATATTGATCCAACAGCTTAAGTGCTCTTTCTTTCACATTTTCTGGTGTAGTCTGCTGTGGAAATTCTCCCCAAGGGCAGCGCTCGTATGAGAAGCCATAGGTTCGAGCAAAGTCGAACTGACAACAGATTGCGGGCTCGGGCCCACAAGTATGTGGAATGTCATAGGAATAAAAGGGCATCATATGGACAAACATGTCAGTTGTTTCTTCTGCGTCCCAGCTCTGCCTCCATATGAATTCTAAATTTTTGTGCAAAGCTAATTCCTTCTTCAATTCATAATGTGTCCTCTGTATAAGCATATTCTCGAAACCCATGCGGCGTAAGAGATATGCCATTGTTGAAGAATATCCAAAAGGATCTATCGCCCATGCATTCTTGGGAACAACGCCACAAGTTTCATTGAGCCACATATTACCCTCTGTTATCTGGTCATAGATTCAGAAAACAAGGATGTTAATTGTTAACACAACTTAGTAACTTACAGGGATGACAAGATTAATATGAGATGTGCAGCTTAAGTACATCCATATATGTGCATGAACACAAACAACCATATAGGGGCATTAAAAGAAAGAATCATTATTAAAATGAGACTGTATGATGTTTTAAGCTATCTAAATATGTGTGAATATATCTAGGATTTATGAATGTAATAGAATTAGCATCCATAATTCACAATTAAAACTGTTCCAGTCAAACCATATCTAATTATCAAGAAATTACCATCCCTTTTATGGTATTTAAAAACTACTAAAGATCAATAAAAAGTTAAGAGATTAAAAGCAAAGAATATGCAAGAAGCACATCATGAAAACTAGAATAAGGTGGCATGCATTATGCAAATGTTAAAATAGAAAGCTTCGTAAATGAGAACTGGAATGTTTATGAACCTCCATGTAAATCTACTCTCAATTCTCTAGTTGGCACCATCAACTCAGCTTAAAACTTAAGTTTGCCACTAGAAGTTCAAGGCAAGGCACATTGAGTGAAATGGATAAAACAATCATTTTATATGCAATAAAATAAGGAGATAAAGGAAGCCCCAAAAAGAAATAAGCAATAAGCGTATATTGAGCAGCAACTTCTAGAAAATTAAGAATCAGAATAATGCAAGTTAAACAATAAGGAATCTCCAATTTACCTGTTCTATGATTGCAAAATAATGTGAATTAGCCTGTAAACAAAACCAACGAAAAAAGGTAAGTCATCAATAGACAACCTAAAGAAAGTTGAAGATGATTAAAGACCAACAACAACAACAGTAGCAACAATAACAATAGAAAAAACAACAAATCCATTTTGATCCCTACTCCGTCGAGATTTAGGGTGAAGGTGTATGCATCCTTACCACTGCAAAAACCATAAAGGCTCTTTTCGTTAGACACTTGATGCATTGATGCATTTACTACCCAAAACTTCATAAAAAAGTAAATGGCAGGGGAAGTAAGGAAAAATTGATTCCTTTACGAGACACCCATATAGGAAATGAAAGAATGCACATAATGTTAGAAATATCAAAGGGTACCACTAGCTTTAACATTCAAAATAGCTTATTGAAAAGCTCTTTATTCTAGGGTAGCCTTCCTAAGGCCAGTCATACACCCAGTGTAATTGGCAAAAATGATTATACATAAAATCAGTTGAGCCCCAGTCACCACTCAAATAAACCCATTTGTTCAAGAGGCTAGACATCATTAACTGATAAATATGATACAGGTTCACCATTGAGGTGAATTGCACAAGAACAAACAATTTTAAATTGCCATTGATAAATTGAAAAAAAGGCACTCTACTCCGTAAAGTATAGGTACAGTCTATGTTCATCTTGCTTGCCACACCCTACTATTGACATTTAAGTGGGATATAGTGGGTTTGTTTGGTTAGATTGATAATTCGGAAAACAAAACTCATGATCTTCTTTGCACCCTTTTAAATCCCAATTGGGAATTTGAGATTAAGAGGCAGTACGTAAACAGAGAAAAATAAGTACTTGCTCCATTTCAAAAGCTTCGTTACATTTACCGTGCATTCTTACCTCATCATTCATCACCCAACCACCTCCGACGATTTCTAGTTGTCCATTCTGTACTAAATTGATGAAGGATTCTTTACTTGCAGCTGAGGCATCTCTCCACCATCTCTCCAAAAAAGACATCTCTTCCCATATAAACTTGCGGCGAACATCCTATAGACCAAAACCCAGAATTGGGCAGGGGTAGAAATCACATTAAACACCATGAAATGGAACACACTATGTCCCCAATATTAACTTCTGATAGTAACCATCCCGAGAATCAGAGTTTCTTGCCAGACATTTTTTAGCATTCGGGAAGCCCTAACACTTTTTGTCTCAACATGAAGCACTAATCATGAATTCCCAGTGAACTTAATATTCAACCAGTTTCCTACACACACCATATTTGCATTTGACTCATTGATTAAACAGTTGTAGGCAGCTAAAGAAAATTCACCTTTGAAAGTGTTTCAACAATGGCGTCAAGGATATGCCTGGACTGTTGATCATAATATTCCTCAACCGTGCGAATCCAACCCGGATCATTATGCGAATGTGGAACCACAAAAATCTTCAGCTTCTCCGAATCCCACTCATTTCCTTGGTAAATCACATTCCAACCTTGCTTCCAAGCACCGCCATCTTCATCGAGGAATTGAATCTTATCGTATAAACCCTTGGTCGTTATATCGACTACAGCTCCGGAAACGGCATCGCCAGCTGGGGATTTCCTGTAAGCGGGCTTCCGGGTCCGGGAAAAACGGGTTCGGGCGGAACGGAAGTGAGAGGAGAGCAGTGGTTTGGGAACGCCGTAGCTGTAGAAGACTACGAGAAGGAAGAGGAGGAGGCAGAGGGAGAGGCCGATGGCGAAGAAGTTGGCGAGCAGGAAATCTTTAATGGCGGTCCGTTTGCGGGACTTGCGGGGCTGCTTCGACGAAGGCTTGGAAGTGGGGAGGAGGTAGTGCGACCACCATCGCCCTCCGCTGCGGGAGGAGAAAGCCATCTCCGTGCGGTGGTCGTGGCGGTTAAGATGGGGGCGGCAGTGGTGGCGATTGCAGAATCAGATCTGCTGCGGGTGTGCTTGGAGCGGACATTTCCATCTTGTAGTGGGACCCAGTGGATTACTCTTCATTCTACAAAGTCAATATTTTAAGAAGGCTATAGAGTAAAGAATAAAATATTGAAATTCGCATTATATACGGCTAAAACATGTTTAATGGCGAAAACAATGTCAAAGTGGATATTTACATTGAACAATGTTTAGTGGCGATAGACATTTACTTGAACAATGATCAATAGACAATAACTAGTGATACTAGATTTGGAATAAAAATATATGATACCACATTGGGAAAATCACTTTGTTTAATACTATTTAAATAAATTTTTCATACTGAGAAATACTCCATTTTTAGCCTAAATTTAGGTATTTTTGTTTTGTAGTTGAATTTCTCAATAGGATGTTTGAGAGTATGTTTGAAAATAGCATTAAAATGCATTTTAAGTGTTTTCCAGTCACCTTTATATTATAAATTATGATTTCAAATATGTAAATTATGCTCTAAAAGTAATTTTCAACAAAACTCGAAATAACTATTTTATACTCCCTTCGTCCCCCAGTTTTTGTCCACTTTTGACTTTTGGAACTGTTCATCTAAGCACTTTGACTCATCAAATTCTCTCAATGTGTAAGCTTAAATATAGTCATGTGTGATCTTGTTTGATTTGTCTTAACTGTTGAAACACGGGCTTGTCACGTTTTCGTACTAAAGCCGTGTTCGTTTTTGTAACAGGTTTTGATAATGCCAAACCGCCGTGATCAAGTCAAACATTGAATATACAAGGCGAAGAACGAAGATAAGAGCAAGAGCTAAACGAAAACCAAGAACGAAGACCTTAATCATAGTATTGAGTCGGTCTTTATTGTGATCAAGACCGACCCAATCTTTACACCTTGGCTCTTTAGGCTAAAAACTCTCATTGCATTTCTTACATCATAAAAATGGTTTTAAACTTGTTTAAGTCATTAAAAACACTTGGTGTTCGCCCAAACCAAAAACCAAGCCATCCAGTGTTCGGCTTTCAGAAACCAGCGTTCGGCTTTC